AGTTAACCCGACTTTTAGTTGTTCAATACAACTTTCATAATATACGGAAAAAATATTCTGTACTTGGAGTTTCACAATATTTTACACAACGTTGATTTATAACCATATGTAATAATATAGTTTCGCAAAATGATTAACTCTTACTCATGTATGAGACATTTGACTTATCTTGTGCAGTCTAATATTAAAAATCTTAACCTTACTGCGAAAAAAGATGTGTAAAAAATATATAACGGGTTTGTGATTAAAATAATAAAACCTTTGTTACAGTCAATCATAATTATAACGTATTACAATATATTTACATGAGAAGATTTCTGAAGCGGTACTTTAAATATTATAATTACAAAGTAAATGTAAATATTTTGGAATTTTAAATAGTATAATTACAAATAATGTGCACGCATAGTATAAAACTAATATAATATTTTTGAAGCTCGCTTTTTATCATTACGTTTAATGGCTAGCTCAATTTCCTCTATATAGTAGCTGAACATAATTTTTAAGAAATTCGCAACGTTTGTTTTACCTTCTAAAAAACGAAAATAACATTTTTATGAGCGACGGTAAAAAATAGTTAAGATTAATTCGTTATTATATAATTGGAGAAACTACCATCGTTATTTCGAGGATTATTCAAGTCTGGCATAGAAAACCAACAACAATTCATGGTCTTCAACTTAGTAGACAACTCTTCCGCAGAAAGGAAACCATCACTATCTTCGTCGTATTCTACGAATTCATCTAAGAAAAACCTGACTATAGATGTATCCAAGAACCCTTGTTTATCCATGTGTCTCTGTACAATTGTCGAGGTAAAAAATATTGTTAAAAACCGTCAAATAGTTAATCAGCAGGTAATGTAGTGCAAGATAACACAGTGAAGAAATTTGAGTTTTATAAAAAAATGTATTTTATTTCATTTTTGTGTACCTTCCTACCACGTTCTGCCGTAACCAACATCAACTCCATCAACTGTTTCGCAGCGGATCCTGTGCACGTTTCAAATAGTATTATTTCAAATATTATGTATTATAGCAAAACGTATGAAACTTAAATATTTCAAGATTATATTCTTACGGTTGGATTTGAAAAGCATTTTCGAATAATGTTTTGAGTCAGCCATACCAAAATCTATGAAGATTTTTTGAATTTCCAAAATATCAATACCACGGGGAACAATTGTCCATTTGGGACAAGTATTATACAAATTAATGAACTTCACTATTTGCTGTAGATCTAGACCATAACCCTATAATATAAGCATTCATATAAGAATACAATACTTAAAATGAACATTTCACTGGTATTAATTAGACTATTAATGTTATTATGGTTTTTTGTGTATGTAGAAAACAAGGAATTCATTTTTTTTTTTATGTATAAATATTTAAATGAAATAAAAATTGTACTTAATATAATTTCAAGAATTTAAAATAGTACTATATTTTTATTGGAAATTCAAATTCTAAAAGTCTTAACCGACCATTGCTATTTAATATAATACAATGATATTAAATACGTTATTTTGTAAAGATTTTATTTTATAATCTTCACAAGTAATAATAATAATAATAATAATAATATTTTTCCAGTTTTCGCACATAATTTATAATTGCTTACTTCAGGTTTGATTTCCAACATTATCAACAAGAATTCCGCTTCATGGACAACAAATTGGACTGAAATTGAATTTTAATTTATAATGATCGACATAAAGTAAACGGCCCTAAATTACCGGCATAATATTCTACCTGTTTTTTTTTTAAATTTAAGTTTTTCGACTATATTTTCAATCTCGATTTTGTCTACTTTGAAATCTTTTAATACACCTGGTAGCTGTTCAAGACCAAGACATCCATTATGGTAAGAGTACTTTGCCTCTTTGGTGAACACGCTGAGGAAAAACTCCACTTCAAAAGACGTAAGCATTTGAGTCTAACATGTATACACACACAATACCAATGCGTTATTCATTTAGAGTATTATGATATTTGATTACGTTTGATGTACATTTTTTTGGTTTTTAGTTTTAAAGTGTAATTTTTAACCAAATACCTTGAAGCAGTCGTGTATTATCTTATCCTTATTCGCTAACGTCAACAGTAACTTCTTTAAATCAACAGCAATGGCCCCAGCTATATAAATTATTAAGTACACAATTAATTTTAATACAGTACAGTACAGAGTGATTCATTTTGGGTAATCGTGAAACTTTACAAAAAAATGTAACTTCTAAATAAATAAAAATTATTAGAATTTTGTTAGAAAACAAATGTGCAAAATTTTTAACATTAAATATGATATTTTTTACAAATATAATAGCCAATTAATAACAAAAGCCGATAACATCTGTATCGTGTTGTTTTGAGCTTATTATTTATATTTCAGAATTCTGAAATATATAGATAATAATATACTCAGTGCAGACTTTAATATTATATGTGTAGGTTAGGTACTGATAACAAATATTGGTGATATACTGATACGTATTTGTGTGATTCATGTGCATAAAAAATACTATATTACATATAAATCTGTGCTAACAAAAAAAAAAATTCAACAAACATATTGCTAATAAAAAAATGATGTTTAGTTGCAGTTGTATGTTAATTTTACAGTGTAATACACTCAAAATTATGGAATATGATTGGCATATTATAAAGTATATTAGTGTTTTACTTTAAATGCTTGTAGATAACATAATAATTAGAAAATGTAATACAATATTTTACTTGAATCGCAATCAAAAAGTACTTCGGGTTCTTGAATTTCAAAAAATTCTTTCATAAATTGTGTGATGTCATCTTCGGTAATTTCACTAGCAGACATTTTGTGATTATCGTACAGCCTAATAATTTCAGTCAGTTGTTTACTGTTCAGTCCAATGCTCTAAAAAAAAATATTATCAGTTAAAGTTATATTTAATGTGTATTGCGATGACGTGGCGGATTTACACATATTTACTATTTCTGTTCTCTCAAACCAACGTTAATTAATTTTAGTCATTTTATCTGAGATGAATTGTTATATAATTAATACTCTTACCCATGCTGACGTTACGAGGTACAACGCGCAAAGTATAACAGCACTTTCAAAATGCATATTACCTTTTTAAAGAGTTAAAATACAAATGAGTACGTGTATAATAAAAAGACTACGGGCACCGAAGTAATATAACGAATAAACAGTCGAATAAATATGTTTTACTTGTTTTTCGTATTTTAGCGCAAATGTTAATAAAATGTTTGCCGGGCCAAATGTTATTGGACATACTTTGTCGATGGCAAAGTGGAAGATGAAGGGTTTTGCTAGATACACACATTTATACATTTTTTGTACTATATGTTTGCCACATTAGTATTTACAATAAATTTTATTTTTTTTACTTTTATGTGGACATGATTTTTGTTTTTATTACAATAAATGTGTTTTTATTTTGTGTTGTTTAACTGTTGATAATAGTCAACGCATGTATTAAAAAAACACTTTTATTATATTGCATATTACACAGATATGAAACAAGAACAAATTATTAAGAAAACCCGTTAATTAAATACAATTTAAATAACATCTATTACTTTTACAATGCTCAATCTTCAGACTAAATGGCTGATATGGTGTATCTATATGAAACAAAACTTTTTCAAATGTAGTTATAATATATGTCTAGATATCGTTGAATTAGAATCCTAATCTGTAGTTTACACTAAAAGTAAAACAGTAAAATTGATATTTAAAATTTTTAATTCAATTTTTCCTTTTGCAGTTAAACATGTAAAATATAGTTATCGCGTGTTTAATCTAAATAGTTTATTAATTACCTCACTCAGTGATGTTATCAAATTTTTAGATTTATTAAAATTAACATCAAATAGATTGTTCAAAAAAAAAAATTATTAATTTGTAAAAACTCTATGGTTTTGTGAGTGTCGGCTGAAATGTTTTAATACTTGTATTATATATTTTGTAGTGCTTACAAGAATCAGATTTGATGTCAAAAAAATGTCTACTGTCGCAATTTAATTCGAAATATTTGTCCAGCTCTTTTATTACAAAGTTCTGCATTTGTATAATCGTTTCTATAAGCACTGATTGTAAAAAACTTTTCAAAGTGTCCACGTCCGGGTGTAAAGTGCTTTGCATTTTAAAAAGCAAATCGTAGACCAGCCATATCTCATACAAATCTATAAATATGTTGTGTATATATATGCGGAGCACATGTTATTAGTTTTACAATGATGAGGGATTTTTTTTTGTCTGCATACACTGTAATTTTTTCAATACTGAACCAATTCCTTCGAGTAGCAACTAGCAACTCTATAAAACGAATATTTCATCTAGTTGAGAGGGGTAAGAGTTGAACAAATTTACTTCTTCACTGTTAAAATTTGAAAAAAAATATACGAATTATAATGTTAGAACTTTTACTGGCTATAACTTCGAGAAAATGATTCGGAACAAGTTGAAATTTAAGCACTTGGTTTGAAAATAATAACTACTACTATACATTGGGTTTTTCTGTAAGACATCAGAATCGTTTTATTAATCCGCAAGTACAACAGTGACCACTCACAAGTATTAATAAGCCTACATATATTAAAAACAGCCTAAAAAAAGTCGTTGCCCAATACCTTTTAAAATTAATAAACCGTGTCTTGGGACACCTGGCCAAAAAAAACTGTACAGGCTGTAAATCAATTTTGTTAATATAATGTCTCCAATAGCGTTCAATGTATGATTCATATGTAATATTACGAGTAAAATTGCTTAGAAAAACTTACACAGTCATGTCTGAGACATCTGACTTATTTTGTGCAGCCTAATATTAATAATGTTAACCATACTGCAAAAAGAGAACTGTAAAAAATGTACGACGGGTTTGTGATTAAAATAATAAAACATTTACTACAGAAATATTTCAATCATTATTACAATATATTACTACATGTCAAAAAACAAAAAATGTAAACATAATAATTTTCTATATTAGACATAAAGGAGCGGTACTTTATAAATTATAATTAATAAAAAAATGATTCATCGTGATTATGTACATAGTAAGGAATCATCATTTTCAATAATTTCGCAAAGTTCGTTTCACTTCCTAAGAAAAAAATTACATTTTCATGAGCGATGATCAATGACGATTATGATTAATTCGTTAATAGTAGTATTGGAGAATCTACCATCGTTATGTTGAGGATGTCCGCTTTTTGGCTCAGCATACATATCACGTCTTGCGAGTTCCAACCAAGTGGATAGCTCTTCATGCGTAAGGAAACCATCACTATCTTTGTCGTAACTAACGAATTCGTCTAAGACAAACTGGACTTCATATGTATCCATAAACCCTTGTGCATCCACGGGTTCCTGTAGAATTTCCAAAGTAAAGCGATTTGCTTAGACTATCAAATAGTTAATTAGCAGTTAATGTAATACATAAAAACACAGCAAAGAAATTTAAAGTTTATAAAACAAATTAATAATTTGAATCGTGTGTACCGCCCTACTACGTTCTGCCGTAACCAACATCAATTCCATTATCTCTTTCGCAGCGGATCCTGTGCACGTTTCAAATAGTATTATTTCAAATATTATGTATTATAGCTAAACGTGTAAAACATAAATATTTTAAGACTATATTCTTACGGTTGGATTTGAAAAGCATTTTCGAATCATGTTTTGGGTCAGCCATACCAAACTCTATGAAGATTTTTTGAATTTCCAAAGGATCAACACCGCCGGAAACAGTTTTGGGACAATTATTAAACAAATCAATGAACTTTTCTATTTGTTGTACGTTTAGACCATAACCCTATAATGTAATTAGATGAACATTTCATTGGTGTTAATTATTAGACTGTTAATATTATTATGGTAATTCATGTATGTAGTAAACAAGGAATTTCATTTTTTAGATTTATATATATATAAATATCTTTATATGTATTCGAATGAAATAATAATGAATATTCGTTTGATATTTTCTGTTTTAAAAACGTAAAACTGAAAAAAATGATAAATGAAATTTCAAAAAAAAAAAAATTAAATTTCTATTACTATAAATGCTTTTAATTTGTTTTGTTGTGTTTTGAAAAAATGTTTTATTTGCTTTGTTCGTTTTTACTTAGTACAAATTTTATTTAATATATTTTAAAGACTTTAAAATAGTACTCTTATTTTATTGAAAATTCAAACTTTAAAAGTCTTAACAGACCATTGATGTTTAATGTACAATGATACTGAGTTCGTTGTTTTATAAAGTTTTTATTTAATAATCCACTAGAGATTATATTTTTCAATTTTTTGCACATAATAGATTGTAATTCCTTACAACTGGTTTGATTTTCAACATTGTCAACAAGAAATCCGCTTCATTGATAACAAATTGGACTGGAATTGAATTTAAATTTAAAATTATCGACATAAAGTAAACAGTCTTAAAGTTCCGGCATAAATTTATTACCGGTTTCTTTTTTATCCTTAAGTTTTTCGACTATATTTTCGATCTCCGTATTTTCTAGTTTTAAATCTTTTAGTACACCTGGTAACTGTTCAGGACCAAGACATCCATCTTGGTCAGTAATGTTCACGTGTTCAACAAACACGCTGAGGAAAAATTCCACTTCGAAAGGCGTAAGCATTTGAGTCTAAGTCCATTGTATACACACACAAAATCAATGCGTTATTAATTTAGAAGATAATGATATTTGATTACAGTTGATGTAAATTTTTCGTTTTTTTGTTTTAAAAGGATTTTTCAGACCGAATACCTCGAAGCTGTCGTGTTTTTTCTTATCTTCATACGCCAACGTCAGTAGTAACTCCTTCAAATCTACATAATAGACCCCATTTACATGGTTTAAATAGTACTCAATTAGTTTTAAGTCGTTCATATTTTTACAGCACAGAGTGATATTTGACAAAAAAATATAACTTTTAATGATATAAAACTAGTCAAATTAGCCAAAAAAAATTAATAAATTGTGCATACAATACAAGTGCAATACAATACGTTATGCTTTTAGCGTATAAATTAATTACTAAATAAAACATATTCCTTAGAACAAAAGTTTTTCATTTATCTTATCTTTGTGAAAAATAACCATGTTCAGGTGTAGTTGTGTGTTAATTTTACAGTGTAATACACTTAATTTTATGGAATACGATTGGCATATATTTAAAGTATATTAGTGCTCTACATCTAAAATGCTTGTAGATAACATAACGAATGGAAAATAAAAAAAAATATGTTACTCGAATCGCAATCGAAAAGTTCCTCAGGCTTTTGAATTCCAAAAGATTCTTTCAGAAGTTTTGTAATATTCTGGCTGGTAATTCGGCTAGCAGGCATTTTGTGACTTTCGTATAGATTAATAATTTGTTTTAGTTGTGAACTGTTCAGTCCAATGCTCTAAAAAAATAATAATATCAGTTACAGTTATATTTATTGTGTATTGCGATGATGTGGCAGATTAACATATATATTTTATACGCCGTTCTGTCAAGCCAACGTTGTATAATCTACACATATATAAATTAATTATTTTTAAACATTTTATGTGAGACAAATTGATATCTAAATAATCTTACCCAGGCTGACGTTAAGAAATAAAACGCGCACAATATAACAGCACTTTTAACATGCATATTACCTTTTTAAAGAATTAAAATACAAAAGAGTACATGTAAAATAAAACGACTACGGGCACAAAAGTCAAACAACGCTTAGACTGGCGAAAAAGTATTTTTTACTTGTTTTTCGTATTGGCGCAAGTGTAAAAAACTATGTTTGTCGGCCAAATGTTATTAGACGTATTTCGTCGATAGAAGATACACACAACTGTAGTTCTGTACCCTTTTTTTGCAGCATTATTATTTAGATGAGTGGTTTGTTTGTTTACATAAATTTAATTTTTTTTTGTGTTGTCTAGCTGTTGATAGGAGTCAACTGTATCTGAAAAAAATCCTTTTATCATATGGTTTATTACACGTATAACAATGAGAACAAATGATTAAGAAAACCCATAAATTATATACACTTTCAATAATTGTATTGTCTTTACAATGCTCAATACTGGACCAATTCCTTCGAGTAGCGACTTTATAAATTACAAATTTCACATTATTGGTACTTTGAAGAGGAAGGAAAAGGTTGAAAAAGTTTACTTCTTCACAGTTAAAATAAATAACATAATAAGCGAAGAAAAAATTGGTAACTTCAGTTTTTCTTTAATTGCCGTAAATCTGTGTTTTTTCGCAGATTTCGTATCTTTTAACATAAACAATTTAAAACTTAAAAATGTGTTACCAAATCGTTATAATATTGTTATGGACATCTATTCAGAATGATACTATTAAGTTCTGATACTCTAGTACCGGTTTTAGGTTTTAATTAAATTTTATTTTTATTTATGTTTTTTTGACTGAATGCGTTGAAAATAAAATAAATCTTTGATTTTTTAGATCGTGGCAAAATTTTAAAATTATTTTTAGTCAGTATTTTCCTTCTATGCCCTTTCGGCATAAATATAATTTAGCACCCACGGGGGAATTTGTAGATTTTTTTTCTTCAAAATGTAAGTACTTGTACTCAGATAACTATGGCGAAGTTAGATTTGGTCGGTCGGTGGTTACTTTTGAAATTATAACACTTGTACAAATATTTCAAAAAATACAAATTTGGAAAAAACAATTTCGAAGTTATTGCACTCTTAAAAACGAATTAATTTAGTTAAAGTTATAACTTCTAATGTAAGTTCGGCCTACCAAATTTGACTTTACCATTGCCATCAGCGTAAAGGACACACATAAAAAAAAAAATCGAAAAATACGGATTTTTTGGTTTAATGGAACTATTTGCATAAGATGCAAACATGGTGATTTGCCATGGAATGACCCTCTCATTGTTTTCCGTGTAATAAACAATAAAATAAAAAGTGTTTTTTCGATACATTTAGCGTTGATTCTTATCAACAGCTAAACAACACAAAATAAACACACATTTATTGTAAACAAAAAACCAACTATTCTTCACATAAAATGTAAAAAAAAATACGATTTATTGTAAATAATAATGCGGCAAAAAAATAGTACAAAACTCTATAGTTGTGTGCATCAAGCAAAACCCCTCATCTTCCTCCTTGCCATCGACCAATTACGTGCAATAACATTTGGCCCGGCAAACATTTTATTAACACTTGCGCTAAAATACGAAAAACAAGTAAAAAATACTTTTTCGACTGTTTATTCGTTGTTTGACTTTGGTGCCCGTAGTCGTTTTCTTATCATTTGAATTTTAATTCTTTGAAAAACGACTATGCATTTTAAAAGTGCTGTTATACTTTGCGCGTTGTATCTCTTAACGTCAGCGTGGGTAAGAGTATTAATCTCAGATAAAATGACTAAAATTAATTAACGTTGGTCTGAGAGAACCGAATATAAAATATGTGTAAATCTGCCACTTCATCGCAATACACAATTAATATAACTTTAGCTGATAATATTTTTTTTAGAGCATTGGACTAAACAGTAAACAACTGACTGAAATTATTAGGCTGTACGAAAATCACAAAATGTCTTCTAGTGAAATTACCGAAGAAAATATCACGAAATTAGTGATAGAATTTTTTGGAATTCAAGAGCCTGAAAAACTTTTTGATTGCGATTCAAGTAACATATTGTTTTAAATTTTCCATTCATCATGTTATCTACATGCATTTAAAGTAGAGCACTAAGATACTTTATAATTTGTCAATCATATTGCATAAAATTGAGCTTATTACACTGTAAAATTATAATTCAACTGCTAAGTACTGATGTAAACTTTTATACAGGGTGTATCATATTGTGTAAATTCTAGAAACATGAACATTTTGACAAATATTTATTCTCTATACAGGGTGTCCGCCAAAGATAGACAATTGAAATAACTCTAGTTTTAGTGAATGTTTGTGTGATATTTTTTAAAGCTCATTTGCGCTATAAGCAATACGTTTTTTAATGCACTTAACTATTTTACTTTAAAAAAAACAATTATTTTTTTCGTTATATTTAATATTTTGTATGCTCACGAATCCCACAAAAACATGTCACTATATAAATAATATGTGTTATCAATACTTCACCTACACATATAATATTAAAGTATGTGGTGAGTATATTATTATCTATATCTTTCAGAATTCTGAAGTATAAGTATTAAATTTAAAACAATACCATACAGATGTTTTATTGGCTATTGCTATTAATTGACTATTTATATTTGTATAATATATGCGACTTAATGTTCAACAATTTTGCCTATTTGATTTCCAACAAAATTCTAACATTTTTTTAAACTTTTTAGAAGTTACATTTTTTGGTATAATTCTACGATTACCCAAAATAACTGCAGTAGATTTAGAGACGTTACTGTTGACGTTAGCGTATGAAGATAAGAAAACATACGACAGCTTCAAGGTATTCGGTCTAAAATAACTTTTTAATACTAAAAGCCAAACAAATGTACATCAAATGTAATCTTGTACATTGGACTTAGACTCAAATGCTTACGCCTTTCGAAGTGGAGTTTTTCCTCAGCGTGTTCACCGAAGAGGCAAAGTATTCTGACCATAATGGATGTCTTGGTCTTCAACAGCTACCAGGTGTATTAAAAGATTTAAAATTAAAAAATACGGAGATCGAAAATATAGTTGAAAAACTTAAAGGTAAAAAAAACAGGTAGAAATTTATGCCGGTATTTTAAGGCCGTTTACTTTATGTCGATAATTTAAAATTTAAAATTCAATTTTAGTCAAATTTGTTATCAATGAAGCGGATTTCTTGTTGATAATGTTGGAAATCAAACCAGAAGTAAGCAATATTATTAATACTATTATCTAAAGATTATCAAATAAAAACTTTACAAAACATCGAACTTAATAATATCATTATTTAATAAATAGCAATAATCGGTTAACAATTTAGGAATTCGAATATTCCAGAAATATATGTTACGATTTTCAATTCTTGAAAATTACAAAAAGTTTAAACGAACAAAGCAAAAAAAAAAATCATATTTTCATAAGACAACAAAAATAAAACCGATAAAAGTTTAATACAAATTTAATCATTTTATTTCTGAAATTTCTAAAAAAATTTTCCAGTTTTGTATATTTTAAAACATAAAGTTGTAAACAAGTACACATTGTTATTTCTTTGAATATATAAATATATACATAAATAAACCAAATTCCTTGTTTTCTACATATACGAATTTCCAATATTATATTCGTATACAAATAGCAGTGAAATGTTCCTCTTAAGTATTAATTTCTATTATGAATACTTACATTATAGGGTTATGGCCTAGACCTACTGCAAATACAAATGCTCGTTAGTCTGTATCTATATGGTGGCGTACTTGATAACGGGAAAATTGACCCTGAGGAAGTTCAAGAACTCTTCATAGAGTTTGATATGGCTCACTCAAAACATTATTCGAAAATGCTGTTCAAATGCAACCGTAAGAATATGTTGTTAAAGCGTTCACGTTTCATACGTTTAGCTATTATGCATAATATCTGAAATAATACTAATTGAAACCCGCACAGGATCCCCTGCGAAAGAGTTGATGGAGTTGGTGTTGGTTACGGCAGAACGTAGCAGGAAGGTAAAACTCATACTTCATTGCTTTGTTATTGTGTATTACATTACCTACTAAGTAACTATTTGATGGTCTACAAAATATTTTTTACTTTGAAAATTGTCCAGAAACACATAAAAAGAGGGTTCATGCATACATGTATAGTGCGGTCTATCTTAAGCGATTTCGCAGAATACGACGAAGATAGTGATGGTTTTCTTTCTGAGGAAGAGTTGTCAACTAAGATGAAGACAATGAATTTTTATTGGTTTTCTATGCCAGACTTGGATAATCCTCGAAACAACGAAGGTAGTTTCTCCAATAGTATATATATAATTGATTTAATCTTAATTATTTTTGACCATTGCTCATAAAAATGTTATTTTCGTTTTTTAGGAGGTAAAACAAACATTGCGAAATTCTTAAAAATTATGTTCAGCTACTATATAGAGGAAATTGAGCTAGCCATTGCATGCACAATATAAAATAAAGTACAGAATAATTTTTCCTTATATCATGGAAGTTTTATTGAACAACTAAAAGTCGGGTTAACTACAAAACTCCCACAAATTATTTGTATTACTATTTAAATAAAATATCATTTCTACTTGTTACCTAAATTAGTTCACGATTTCAGAGTTTGGTTGTCAAGTATGAATTAGTTTTATCACATCTTACAATATAGTTCATACATCTTCTAAAGTTTAAGAATATTATAGGTAGGAGATATATATTATTAACAAATTTGGTACCTAAAAGATATAATATTAAATATATAAAGATATATTTAGAGCAAGGAAAACGGAACATAATATGACACTTGTAGTTTAAATTACATAAATAACTAGAATGAAAAACATATTTAATTTTCAAGTTTCCACACAAATCAATATATGCATTATAAGTATATAGTCCAAAGAGAACTTTTTGCCGGATAAAAAATTGTGGAGAGAAAATAATTCGTTGGACAGTCCTTTTTGCGTGGGATAATAGGTAAAGAATAAAGAATATGACATATTATAAAATTACTGTCTATAATCGTATAAACGTCATATAAATACAAAACGTTATTCGATGCATATTTGCTTACATGTTGGTGAGATTATCAATTCAGACTGATTGTCTTACTGATTTAAAAAAAAGGAAAACTATCTATAATTGAATAGTATTCCATGACATACAAATTTTATTTAAACGTCTGTAATAAAATACCTTGCAAGAAAGTTATTTATTTATTCTGTTGGTAGTTGTATTGGTAGTATAGCAAATAAAAGGAAATAACAATACCGGGTACTTCAAATTCGCAGTGATGAATGAAAGAGCCGACTTCCTTTGTGATTGTGACATATAATGTACTATTGAAATAAAGAACTGTTTATTATACTTACATTTCTTGTGTGAAACAATTTTTTACAATACAAGTTATTTTACTTAATTTATTGCGAATTTATCGTCTCTTAAGTTACTAAAATATATAATGCCATCAAGAGTTAAGTTGCTGAGTCATTTGTTTTACCTAAAAAATTGATTTATTGGGTTTTGTTTATTAATTTGTAGCTTGTTATTGATTATGTGACATCTACCCAGTTTAAAATATTTTAGTCAAGTATTCTATATTTCCTTTACGAAAGTACTAGTGGAGTAAACTCATTTTTACCACAAAATATTGGTAACACAGTTATCACTTAAAAATTATAAACCAAAACGTGTGATACAACTGACAATTATTTTCAAATTTTATTAAAACTGATATGAATAAAAGTGGCGCTTCCAATTTTAATTTTTTTGTTTTTACCTCTTTAAATTTAATTATAATGTAGTTAACTATGTAATTAAATTTAACCTTGCTAACATTTAACACATTCTACAAATTGAGATTTTCAAATGCTTTAACCCAATGCTATAGACGGTAGAATAATTAAGATTGAGCATAGAAAAGCCAATAAATTTATTGAAATTTTATTTACTTAATGGGTTTTCTGAATAATTTGTTTTCGTTGTTATCCGTATAATTTATATATATATAAATGTATGTCCTTTATGCATTAGTACACCATTCTTCCGATCGCCATGAAACTTTGGGAAGTTGTTGAGTACACTCCCGCGAAGGTAACTGGCATAGTACTCTTCCAATATTGCACCCCTAAGGGTTGCCTCAAGCGTGAATGATATGTAATGACTAATGATTAATTCTATGTTATGGCCAAAAGTTATTTTAGTAGTTTTTTTTAACATAACGGAATAGGGGACGCTATTAACATTGGAACTGCATCTGGGACAGGGAATGGGACCATCGAGTAAGAGGGGGACATTATCAATATAATGTTATGTACGTGTGTAGATGTAAAAAGAAGCCGAGACGGTGTATACTAAAGCTCTACAATATACAAGCTGGAGTACTGAGTTTTTTTTATATAATTTGTAATTATTTTGCTCTGTCCTGGCAAACTAAATTCCGGGCCACGCCGGTTCCGGACAGCTTGTAAACCATATAATAAAAGTTTTTTTCAGATACATGCGTTGACTCTTATCAACAACTAAACAACAAAAAATAAAAACACATATTTTATTGTAAACAAAAAAAAATAACTCATCTCTGCATCCCAGGTAAAAAAAAAAATACGAATTGTTGTAAATAATAATGCTGCAACAAATTGGTACAAAAATCTACAGTTGTGTGTATCACACTTGCACCAGAATACGAAAAACAAGTAAAAAATACTTCTTCGACTGGTTGTTCGTTTTTTGACTTTGGTGCTCGTAGTAGTTTTATTGTACGCGTATTCATATGTATTTTAATTCTTTAAAAAGGTAATATGCATTTTTAAAGTGCTGTTATACTGTGCGCGTTGTATTTCTTAACGTCAGCATGGGTAAGATTATTTAGATATCAATTTATCTCAGATGAAATGTGTGTAGATTATACAACGTTGGCTCGACAGAACAGCATACAAAATATATGTGTAAATCTGCCACGTCATCGCAATACACATTTAATGTAAATGTAACTGATATTATTTTATTTTAGAGCGTTGGACTGAACAGTAAACAACTATGTGTAATTATTAAGCTGTACGAAAATCACAAAACTACCGAAAAAAATATCACACAGCTTATGAAAGAATTTTTCGGAATTCGAGAGCCTAAGGAACGTTTTGATTGCGATTCAAGTAAAATATTGTTTACATTTTCCAATCAATATGTAATCTACCGGCAATTAAAGTAGAGCTCTAAGATACATAAAAATATGTCAATTATATTCCATAAAATTGAGTGTATTGCACTGTAAATTTAACATACAACTGCAACTAAACAGATTTTTTTTTTTAACAATATGTTTGTTGAACATGTGTTTTTGTATTGTTAGAATACTTTCTATAAGGTGGATTCATCGTGGGTAAGACACTCATTTTCTGAAAAAATATGATCATTTTGACAAATATTTATTCTCTATACATGGTGTCCCACAAAGATAGACAAATGAAATAACTACGATTTTTTTTTATACTTATTTGCGCTATAAGCACAACGTTTTTTATTGTACTTAACTACTTTTATACTACTTGTATTATACTTTTTACATTTTTTTTTTATTACATTTATTTTTAAAATTTCAAGATATCCATTTTATTAAAAATAATTTGTTGAAATTTTGATCGACAACAAGTTTTGGATAATTACTTTTAAATTAATTTACTTTACAGTGAAGGATAGGAAGTGGATTGCGGTTGAGTAAAGCGTGCAAATAGAAATAACTATCTACCGTACTCCACCGCCCTCCCATCCTATATATATATATTATTTTATATGCATACAAATCCAACAAAATCAGCTGACGTCAACTTTAATTCTTACCACTAAATTTAAAAATGTCCATATCTGATAGAAGATCGCATTGCTTATATTTTATTAATCTTTGTACTTATTCATATAATATCGCCATTTACTTAGCGATAAACAAGTTTTTACAATAAACTTAAAGTTTAAATACCACAAAAAGTATCCTGAATATTTATCATTGATCCGATTTGTTCACACATTTATTGTAATAAAAAAACCAACTTATTTCCATATAAAAATTAAAAAAAAAACACAATTTATTGTAAATAATAATGTGGCAAAAAAATAGTACGATAATCTATACTTGTGTGTATCTAGCAAAACCCTTCATCTTCCTCCTTGCCGTTGACCAAATACGTCTAATAACATTTGGCCCAGCAAACATTTTATTTACACTTGCAACAAAATACAACAAACAAGTAAAAAAATACTTTTTCGACTGTTTATTTGTTGTTTGACTTTGGTGCCCGTAGTCGTTTTCTTATCATTTAAATTTTAATTCTTTAAAAAAGTACTATGCATTTTAAAAGTGCTGTTATACTTTGCGCGTTGTATCTCTTAACGTCAGCATGGGTAAGAGTATTAATTAGATAACAATTAATCTCAGATAAAATGTCTAAAACTAATTAACGTTGGTTTGAGATAACAAAATATAAAATATGTGTAAATCTGCAACGTCATCGCAATACACATTAAGTATAACTGTAACTGATTGAACTTTTTTTTAGAGCATTGGACTGAACAGTAAACAACTAATTGAAATTATTAGGCTGTACGATAATCACACAATGTCTGCTAGTAAAATTACCAAAAATAACATCACACAACTTATGAAAGAATTTTTTGAAATTCAAGAGCCCGAGGAACTATTTGATTGCGATTCAAGTAACATAATGTTTTTAATTTTCCATTCGTTAAAATATCTACAGGCATTTAAAATAGAGCACTAAGATACTTTACAATATGCCAATCATATTCCATAAAATTGAGCGTATTACACTGTAAAATTAACATACAACTGCAACTAAACAGATTTTTTTTTTTACAATATGTTTGTTGAACATATGTTTTTGTAAGCACAGATTTATATATATCATATTTTATATGCACACGAATCCCACGAAAACGTGTCACATTTACTTTTAACGTTTTTTAATTTTAAAGTGTAAGATATAGTTTTAAGTGCAGATAAAAATAACTATTTAACTCCCATCCTAATCATTAACCTTTAATGACCTAAAAAGTAATAATCCAAAACTTGTTTATGGACCAGGGAAAATACGGTGCAAATTATTGGCAATAAAATGACTAGCTTAAATTAAAAAAAACAAATGTACCAAACCAAAGTTAAAAAAGTAAAATAGTTAAGTGCAATAAAAAAACGTCAATGAGTATAAATTAATTAAAAAAATAAATCTTAAAAATATTCACTAGAACAAAAGTTATTTCATTTGTCTTATCTTTGTGGGACACCCTGTATATGCATATACGTGTTTTACTATGTTTATCAGTATTTAAATCATTTTTTGTCCCATCTCTTACACGTTTTATTAGTATGAACTTCTTTTTTTTTTTTTAACAATATGTTTGTTGAACATATGGTTTTGTTAAACCAGATTTATATTATATTTAATATTTTGTATGCTCATGAATCCCACAAAAACATGTCACTATACATACAATATGTATTATAAGTACTTAACCTACACATATAATATTAAAGTATGCGGTGAGTATATTATTATATGAGTATATAATATATGCAAATTAATGTTAAAATTTTGCACATTTGATTTCTAACAAAATTCTAATATTTTTTACCTATTCAGTGCTGTAAAAAAAAATAAACCAATTAAAACTAATTGTGTACTTAATATTTTTTATAGATGGGGGCATTGATGTAGATTTGAATAAGTTACTGTTGACGTTAGCGTATAACGATAAAATAACACATGACTGCTTCAAGGTAAATGGTTAAAAATTACTTTTTCAAACAAAAAAATGTACATCAAATGTAATCAAATATCATTATATTCTAAATTAATAACGCATTGATTTTGTGTGTGTTTACATTGGATATAGACTCAAATGCTTACGTCTTTTGAAGTGGAGTTTTTTCTCAGGGTTTTCACCGAACACGCCATCAGTCCTGACCAAGATGGATATATTAGTCTTCAACAGCTACCGGGTGTATTAAAGTATTTAAAGGTAGACGATACGGAGATCCAAAAAGTAGTCGAAAATCTTAAAGTTAAACAAAAAAATAATAACTTTTTAAAGGCTGTTTACATGATGTCGAAATTTTTAAATTTGAATTCAATTAAATCCCTATTTGTTATCCATGAAGCGGATTTCTTGTTGATAATGTTGTTAATGAAACCGGAAGTAAGCAATATTATATTATGTGCAAAAAATGTATTATTCATAAATCATTATGTTATATTGAATGACAATGGTTGGTGATGACTTTTAGAATTCAAATTTTCAATAAAAATATACTACTGTTTTAAATTTTTGAAATTTATTGAATACAATTTTATTTCATTTGAATATTTATACATAAAACAAAGTAATTCCTTGTTTTCTTTATAGACAATAACCATAATAACATTAATAGTCTAATTAATACCAATGAAATGTTCATTTTAAGTATTGCTTTCTTATATGAATGTTTACATTATAGGGTTATGGTTTAGACTTGCAGCAAATAGAAAAGTTCGTTGATTTGTATAATAATTGTCCCAAAACGGATTCCGGTAGTATTGAACCTACAGAGATTCAAAAAATCTTCATAGAGTTTGGTATGGCTGACTCAAGACATAATTCGAAAATGCTGTTCACACCAAACAGTAAGAATATAATGTTAAAATATTCACGTTTCATACGTTTAGCTATTACACAAAATATATGAAATAATACTAATTGAAACATGCACAGGATCCGCTGAGAAAGAGTTGATGGAGTTGTTGTTGGTTACGGCAGAACGTGGTAGGAAGGTAAAACTCATACTTCTTTGCTTTGTTATTATGTATTACATTACCTACTAATTAACTATTTGATGGTCTACAAAATATTGTTTACTTTGAAAATTGTCCAGAAACACACAAAAAAAGGGTTCATGCATACGTGTATGGTCTGGTCTATCTTAAGCGATTTCGTAGAATACGACAAAGATAGTGATGGTTTTCTTTCTGAGGAAGAGTTGTCAACTAAGATGAAGACCATGAATTTTTATTGGTTTTCTATGCCAGACTTGGATAATCCTCGAAATGACGATAGTAGTTTCTTCAATTATATAATAACGAATTAATCTTAGTTATTTTTGACCATCGCACATAAAAATGTTATTTTCGATTTTTAGGAGGTAAAACAAACATTGCGAAATTCTTCAAAATTATGTTCAGCTACTATATAGAGGAAATTGAGTGAGCCATTGTACGCGATGATGACAAGCGAGCTTAAAAAATATTATTATATTAATTTTACATTATGCATATTTACATTTACTTTGTAATAATAATATTTAGAGTACCGCTTTAGAAATATTCTCATGTAAACATGTAGTAATACATTATAATAATGATTGAAATATCTCTGTAGCAAAGGTTTCATTATTTTCATCACAAACCCGTTATACATTTTTTACACATCTTTTTTCGCAGTAAGGTCAAGATTTTTAATATTAAGTTGCACAAGATAAGTTAGATGTCTCAGACATGAGTGTGAGGTTATCATTTTGCGAAACTATATTATCACATATGGTTATAAATCAACGTTGTGTAGAATATTTACTTGTGAAACTCCAAGTACAGACAATTTTTTCCTTATATTATGAAAGTTGTATTGAACAACTAAAAGTCGGGTTAACTAAAGAACTCCCACGAATTATTTATATTAGTATTTAAATAAACCATAATTTCTACTTGTTACCTAAATTAGTTGTCGATTTCAGAATTTGGTTGTGGAGTATGAATAAGTTTTACCACATCTTACATAGTTTATACATCTTCTATAGTTACAGAATATTGTAGGTTGGAGATATATTATTAACAAAATTTGGTACCTAAAAGATATAATATTAAATATATAAAGATATATTTAGAGCAAGGAAAACGAAACATATGGCACTTGTAGTTTAAATTACATAAATAACTAGAATGAAACACATATTTAATTTTCAAGTTTCCACACAAATCAATTATACATAATAAGTATATAGTCCGAAGTGAACCTATAGCCGGAAAAAGAGTTGTGAAGAGAAAATAATTTGTTTGACAACCCGTATTTTATGGGACAATAAAATAAAGAAATAAGAATATGACATAATATAAAATTTCTCTCTATAATCGTATAAACGCCATAGAAATACATAGCGTAATTCGATGCCTACTTGCTTACATGTTGGTGAGATTATCAAATCAGACTGATTGTCTTACTGAATTAAAAAAAAGGGAAACTATCTATAATTAAATAGTATTCCGAAACATAAACATTTTATTGAAATGTCGGTAATAAAATACCTTGCAAGACTGAAAGTTTTTTACAATTTAATATGTACAACAACTAAGAAGATATTTAATTTTCGAAAGTGTAATAATAAATGTATTTTATAATTTTATCTTAGTTTATTGCTTAGTTTTTCTTAAATAAAAACAAATCAATTGGGTTTATCGTTAATAATATAAAATACAACTAATCTTTTATCTTGGGCGATGATAAAATAAAACTATAACATAGTTATTTGAGATTGACCCGTTGAACATTTAAAAATACAGAAAATACTATTATAATTAATATCAACTAAAGTTTGTCAACGTAGGCCATATTTTTTTTTGTCGTAAAGTATTACTCAATACGCAAAGTAAATTTTTATTGCTCAATATATATTCACTCTAATTTAAAGCTGATAACAGAATAGATATAAATATGCTATAAACATATTATTGTGATAAAACTGTTTACATCAAATCTAGGTGTGGATTAGGCAGTAAATGCGCAAAGCTGTATCGCAGGCACTAAGCGAACAGCAGCTGCACTTTACTCCAACGATATGACCGAATAACTCTACCGGTTAATCCGACAATTAATTCTACAAACAAAAAAAAAAATGACTTTAAAAATTAATAGTTATGTCTTGAGACACCTGGCTGTCTAAAAAACTGTACAGACTGTAATTCAATTTTGTTAATATAATCGCCTTATGTCTTCAGTAGCGTTCAATGTATGATTCATAAGTGTATTACCAGTAAAATTGCTTAGAAGATGCAGTCTAATATTAAAAAAATATTAACCATACTGCGAAAAGAGAACTGTAACAAAGTGTATGATGGGATTGTGATTGAAATAATAAAACATTTACTACAAAAATATTTCAATCATTATTGTAATATATTACTAAATGTCAAAAATAAAAATATGTGATTATATTAATTTTCTATATTAGACATAAAGGAGTGGTTCTTTAAATATTAAAATTAATAAAAATATGATTCTTCGTCAAGTTCATAGTAAGGAAGCATCATTTTCAAGAATTTCGCAAAGTTTGTTACACTTCCTAAAAAAAAAAAACATTATATTTTATGAGCGATGGTCTACAATAACTATGATTAATTCGTTAATATATTGTTGAAGAATCTACTATCGTTATTTCGAGGATGTCCGCATTTTGGCTCATCAAACATCTCACGTCTGGCAAGTTGCACCCAAGAAACGAACTCTTCATGCGAAAGGATACCATCACTATCTACATCGAATTTAACGAAATTGCTTAAGAACATCTGGACTATATCTGTATCCAACACCCCTCTTGCTGTGTGTTCCTGTACAATTTCCAAAAGTAAAGCATATTGTTTAGACTATCAAACAGTTAATTAGCAGTTAATGTAATACAAAAAAATACAGCAATGAAATTTAAAGTTTATAAAACAAATAATAATTTTAACTGTGTGTATCGTCCTACTGCGTTCTGCCGTAACCAACATCAATTCCATTATCTCTTTCGCAGCGGATCCTGTGCACGTTTCAAATAGTATTATTTCAAATATTATGTATTATAGACAAACGTGTGAAACTTAAATATTTTAAGATTATATTCTTACGGCTGGATTTGAAAAGGAATTTCGAATCATGTTTCGGGTCAGCCATACCAAACTCTATGAAGATTTTTTGAATTTCTAGCGGATCAATACCACCGTAAACAGTTTTGGGACAATTATTAAACAAATCAATGAACTTTTCTATTTGCTGTCGGACTAGACCATAACCCTATAATGTAATAAGATGAATATTTCAATGATATTATTTAGAATGTTAATGTTACTATGGTACTTCGTATATGTAGAAAAGAAGGAATTGACTTTTTCGGACATAAATATATATATATATATATATATATATATATATATATATATATATATATATCATTATATCTTTATATGTATTCAAATGAAATAATAATGAATATTCGTTTGATATTTTATGTTTAAAAAAGATAAAACTGAAAAAAATGATAAATGAAATTTAAAAAAACAAAAAATACAATTTTTACTACTTTTAACGCTTTTAATTAGTTTTGTTGTGTTTTGAAAACATGTTTTATTTGCATTGTTCGTTTTTACTTAATAAAAATGTTATTTAATATATTTTTAAGAATTAAAAATAGCACTCTATTTTTTTTTGAATATTCAAACTTTAAAAGTCTTAACAGTCCATTGATATTTAACATACAATATTTTGTTCGTTGTTTTATAATATTTTTATTTAATAATTCGCTAGAGATTATATTTTTCAATTTTTTGCACATAACATATTACAATTGCTTACTTCTGGTTTAGTTTCCAACATTGTCAACAAGAAATCCGCTTCATTGATAACAAATTGGACTAAAATTGAATTAAAATTTAAAATTATCGACATAAAGTAAACGGCCTTAAAGTACCGGCATAAATTTATTACCTGTTTTTTTTTTATCTTTAAGTTTTTCGATTATATTTTCGATCTCCGTATTGTTCAATTTTAAATCTTTTAATACACTTGGTAGCTGTTCAGGACCAGAATATCCATTTTGGTCAGTAATGTTCACGTGTTCAATAAACAGGCTGAGGAAAAACTCCACTTCAAAAGACGTAAGCATTTTAGTCTATTGTATACACACAAAAAACCAATGCGTTATTAATTTAGAATATTATGCTATTTGATGTACATTTGATGTACATTTTTTTGATTTTTAGTTTTAAAAAGATATTTCAGACCGAATACCTCGAAGCTGTCGTGTTTTTTCTTATCTTCATACGCCAACGTCAGTAGTAACTCCTTCAAATCTACATAATAGACCCCATCTACATGGTTTGATTAGTACTCAATTAGTTTTAAGTCGTTCATTTTTTTACAGAACAGAGTGATATTTGACAAAAAAATTCAACTTTTAATGATATAAAAAAAAATATTAGAATTTTGTTTCTCATCAAATGGCCAAAAATGTAAACATTTAAATTTGAAATAACTTATGTACCGTATTGTTTTAAATGAATAACTAATATTTCTGAATTCTGTTATATAATTATTGTAAACAAAGTTATAGATAATAACCACAGATTTTAAAATTACATGACGTTGTAGGTGTTATTATAAAGAATTGTTTATTATTTGCGTTTTCTACTACGGCAATAACGGTGGTTTTTATTTAATGAAGTTTGAATACTTATAACACATATTGTTAAAATACTAACACGTACACAGATATATATGACAAACTACATTGCTATCTAGTGATAAGAATTGAAGTCGATGACGGCCATTTTGTGGGATTCGTGTGCATATGAAACAATATATTTAGGATGGAAGGTTGAGTGCGGTAGATAGTTATTTTTATCTGGACGCATTACTTTACCACAATCCACCTCCCATCCAACACTGTGAACTCAAGTAATCAGTCGAAATTTCCAGAAAATTATTTTTAATAAAATGGTTATCTTGAAATTTTAAAAATTAATGTAGCATAAAAAATTAATAAATTAAAATAGGCAAGTGCAATACAATACGTTATGCTTATAGCGTATAAATTAATTGCAAAATAAAAAATATTTCTTAGAACAAAAGTTTTTCATTCGTCTTATCTTTGTGGGACACCCGGTAAAAGAGAAAAAATATTTTTTCAAAATGGTCATATTTTCCTAGGTAATGAGTGTCTTACCAAAAATGAATCACTCTGTATAAAAATATCCAACAATACTTAGCCGTTGAATGTTACTTGTACAGTGTAATATACTTAATATTATTGACTATGATTGACATATCTCAGTGCTCTACTTTAATTGCCTGTGGATAACATAATGAATACAAAATTTAATACAATATGTTACTTGAATCGCAATCGAAAAGTTCCTCAGGCTTTTGAATTCCAAAAGATTCTTTCAAAAGTTTTGTAATATTCTGGCTGGTAATTGGGCTAGCAGACATTTTGTGACTTTCGTACAGATTAATAATTTCACTTAGTTGTGTACTGTTCAGTCCAATGCTCTAAAACAAAATATTATCAGTTACAGTTACATCAAATGTATTCTATCAAACGAACGTTATATAATCTACACACATATATTAATTATTTTCTTAGATCATTGTTTTATCTGAGATAAATTAATATCTAAATACTCTTACCCATGCTGACGTTAAAAGATACAACGCGCACACTATAACAGCACTTTTAAAATGCATAATAACTTTTAAAAAAAATAAAATTCAAACGAGTACTTGTACAATAAAACGACTCTGGGAACCAATGTCAAATAACGAATAAACAGTCGAAAAAGTATTTTTTACTTGTTTTTTGTATTGGCGCAAGTGTAAAAAACTATGTATGGCGGGCCAAACGTTATTAGACGTACTTGGTCTATGGCAAGGTGGAAGATGAAGGGTTTTACACACAACTGTAGATTTCTGTACCATTTTTTTCAGCATTATTATTTACAATAACTCGTATTTTTTTTTACCTCGGATGTAGAAATGAGTGGTTTGTTTGTTTACAGTAAATGTGTTTTTATTTTGTGTTGTTAAGCTGTTGATAAAAGTCAACGCTTGTATCTAAAAATCCCTTTTATTATATTGCTTATTACGTGGATAACAATGAGAACCAATGATTAAGAAAACCCATAAAATAAATACCATTTCAATAATTCTATTGCCTTTACAATGCTCAATACTGGGCCAATTCCTTCGAATAGCGACTTTATAAATTACAAATTTCACTTTAGTTGGTACTTTGAAGGGGAAGGTAAAGTTTGAAAAAGTTTACTTCTTCACAGTTAAAATAAATAACATATGAAACGAATAATTCGACACTACAGTTTTTTTTTAATTGTCGGAAACTGTGTTTTTCGCAGATTTTGTAAATTTTAACATAAACACTTTAAAACTAAAAAGTGTGTTACCAAACCATAACAACATTATTATGGACATGTATTCAGAATGGTACTATTAAGTTTTGATACTCTAGTTTCGGTTTTAGGTTTTAATACTACCTAATAATTAACTATTTGATGGTCTAAATAATAGTTTTTACTTTGAAAATTGTCCAGAAACTCACAAAAAGAGGGTTCGTTTATACAACTATAGTGCGGTCTATCTTAAGCGATTTCGTAGAATACGACAAAGAATAGTGATAGTTTGCTTTCTGATGTGTTGTCTACTATGTTGAAGTCCATCAAAACTTATTGGCTTAAACAGTTTTATTACAATAATATGTTTATAGCATATTTATATCTATTCTGTTATCAGCTTTAAATTAGAGTGAATATATATTGAGCAATAAAAATGTATTTTGCGTATTGAGTAATACTTTACGACAAAAAAAAATAAGGCCTACGTTGACAAACTTTAGTTGATATTAATTATAATAGTATTTTCTGTATTATTAAATGTTCAACGGGTCAATCTCGAATAACTATATTATAGTTTTATTTTATCATCACCCGAGATAAAAAAACTAGTACAGTGGGGTCGGGGCATAGTGGGAATGGGGCGGTTAGGTTAGGGTTTACAGGAGTTCAGTAAAACTGAAAGTGATAAAATGACTTTCGAAAAAACGTTTCAATGCAAATCGGTAGTTAGTATTTTCAAGCCAGTACAGTCCAAACCAAGCACATTATAAACCAGCAAAGTTAGAAAGTATTTTAATTGAGGTGCTGTATTTACAAATAAGCATCAAATTATTGTTACACGCTGACAAACGTCTAACTCTTGACAAATTTAAATTAAAGGTCCTAAACTTTCGGCTAAAAAATCCAAGAAACAAAAAAATGTACTCCCCCTAGGGGGATGAGTATATTTTAAATTTGAGACTATTGACGTGTGAGACTTGATCCGACAGTTATTTTCGAAATTTTAGCCAGTAAAAGTTCAAACTTTTAAGCTCATATGGTTTTTTTAATTTTAACTGCGAAGAAGTAAACTTTTGAAAAATTAATTAAAGCAGCCACATAATACATTATTACATAATACAGTTATTTACATATTCGTTGATTACTGGACAGATTAGGATTCTAATTTAACGATATCTAGACATATATTATACTACATTTGGAAAAGTTTTGTTTCATATGTATGCACTCTATCAGCCATTTAGTCTGAAGATTGATCATTGTAAAGGCAATAAAAGTTATTAAATTTCTATTGAATTGATGGATTTTCTTAATAATTTGTTCTCGTTGTTATCCGTGTAATAAACAATATAATAAAAGTGTTTTTTTGATACATGCGTTGACTATTTTTTACAGCTAAACAACACAAAATAAAAACACATTTATTGTAAACAAACTCATATCCTTAAAAATGTAAAAAAAATACAATTTATTGTGAATAATAATGTGGCAAAAAATAGTACAAAAATCTATAGTTGCGTGTATCTAGCAAAACCCTTCATCTTCCTCCTTGCCATCGACCAAATACGTCCAATAACATTTGGGCCAGCAAACATTTTATTTACATTTGCGCCAAAATACGAAAAACATGTAAAAAAAACCTTTTTCGACTGTTTATCCGTTGTTTGACTTTGGTGCCCGCGGTCGTTTTAATTTACACGTACTCATTTGAATTTTTATTCATTAAAAAACGACTATGCATTTTAAAAGTGCTGTTATACTTTGCGCATTGTAACTCTTAACGTAAGCATGAGTAAGAGTATTAATTAGATAACAATTTATCTCAGATAAAATGTCTAAAATAAATTAACGTTGGTTTGAGAGAACAGAATATAAAATATGTGGAAATCCGCCACGTCATCAAAATACACATTAAGTATAACTTCAACTAATTATACTTTTTTTTAGAGCATTGGACTGAACAGTAAACAGCTGAGTGAAATTGTTAGGCTGTACGATACTCACAAAACGTCTGCTAGTGAAATTACCGAAGATGATATCACACAACTTATGAAAAAATTTTTTGAAATCCAAGAGCCCGAGGAATTTTTTGATTGTGATTCAAGTAATATATTGTTTTACATTTTTTACTCGTTCCATAAAATTGAGTGTACTACACTGTAAAATTAACATACAGCTGCAACTGAACATCGTTCTTTTTATTAACAATATGTTTGTTGAACATATGTTTTGTTAGCACAGATTTTATATATATATATATAACATTTTTTATGCACACAAATTCCATAAAAACGTGACACTATATCACCAATAGGTGTTATCAGTACCTAACCTACACATATAAAACTAAAATCTGCACTGAGTATATTATTGTCTATATATTTCAGAATTCTGAAGTACAAATAATAAGTACAAAACAATACGATACAGATGTTATTGGCTATTGCTATTAATTAGCTATTTATATTTGTATAATATACACAATTTAACGTTCAAAATCTTGCCTATTTGATTTCCAACAAAATTCTAATTTTTTTTTTTTTTTTTTAAATTTTACGATTACCCAAAACGAATCACTCTGTACTGTAAAAAATGGACCAATTAAAACTAATTGTGTACTTAATAATTTATATAGCTGGGGCCATAGCTGTAGATTTGAAGAAGTTACTGTTGACGTTAGCGTATAAAGATAATATAACACACGACTGCTTCAAGGTATTTGGATTAAAAAATTCTTTTTAAAACTAAAACCCAAAAAAATGTACATCAAACGTAATCAAATATCATAATATTCTAAATGAATAACGCATTGGTTTTGTGTGTGTATACCTAATGTGTAAGGTATATTGTTAAAATATTCACGTTTCATACGTTAGGCTATTATACATGATATTTGATATACGACTAATTGAAACATGCACAGCACCCGCTGAGAAAGAGTTGATGGGGTTGATGCTAGTTACGGCAGAACGTGGTAGGAAGGTACACAAAAGTAAAACTATATAATTTGTTTATAAGGTTCAAATTTCTTTGCTGTATTAATATGTATTACATTACCTACTTAATTTATTTATTTTAAATTAAAGTACATTTAAACAAAGGATAACAAATATAGAAAATAGACATAACATAAAGATAAGAATAATAACTATTTGATGGTCTAAATAATATTTTTACCTTGAAAATTGTACACATGGACAAACAATGGTTTATTGGATATTTATATAGTCAAGTTTTTCTTAGATGAATTCGTATAACTTCCTTTCTGAGGAAGAGTTGTCTACTAAGATGAAGGCCATGAATTGTTGTTGGTTTTCTATGCCAGACTTGGATATACCTCGAAATAACGATGGTAGTTTCTCCAAAAATATAATAACGACTTAGTCTTAATTATGTCTGACCACCGCTCATAAAAATGTTATTTTAGTTTTTTAGAAGGTAAAACAAACGTTGCGAAATTCTTAAAAATTATGTTCAGTTACTATATAGAGGAAATTAAGCTAGCTATTGTACGTGATGATGACAAGCGAGCTTTAAAATTATTATATTAATTTTATATTATGCATGCACAATATTCGTAATTATACTATTTGAAATTTCAAAATATTTACATTTACTTTGTAATTAGGTAGGTATTTAAAGTACCGCTTCAGAAATCTTCTCTTGTAAATATGTGGTAATATATTATAATATTGATTGAAATATCTCTGTAGCAAAGGTTTTATTATTTTAATCACAAACTCGTTATACATTTTTTACACATCTTTTTTCATAGTAAGGTTAAGATTTTAAATATAAGACTGCACAAGATAAGTCAGATGTCTCAGACATGAGTGTGAGGTTATCATTTTGCGAAACTATATTATCACATATGGTTATAAATCAACGTTGTGTAGAATATTTACTTGTGAAACTCCAAGTACAGACAATTTTTTCCGTATATTATGAAAGTATAATTGAACAACTTAAAGTCGGGTGAGCTAAAGAACTCCCACAAATTATTACTATTTAAATAAAACATCATTTCTACTTGTTACCTAAATTAGTTGACGATTTCAGAGTTTCGTTGTCGAGTATGAATTAGTTTTACCACATCTTACAACATATATCATACCTTTTCTATAGTTAAAAAATATTATAGGTAGGAGTTATATTATTATCAAGTTTTAGTAACAAAAAGATGTATAAGAGCAAGGAAAACGGAACATATGACATGTGTAGTTTAAATTACATAAGTAAGTAGAATGAAACATTTTCAAGTTTCCACACAAATCAATATATACATTATAAGTGTATAGTCCAAAGAGAACTTTTTGCCGGATAAAAAATTGTGAAGAGAAAATAATTCGTTGGACGGTCCTTTTGGAATGGAATAATAGGTAAAGAACAAAGAATATGACATAATATAAAATTACTGTTTATAACCGTATAAACGTCATTTAAATACATAACGTAATTCGATGCATATTTGCTTACATGTTGGTGAGATTATCAATTCAGACTGATTGTCTTACTGGTTTAAAAAAAAAGGAAAAATATCTATAATTAAATAGTATTCCATAAGATACAAATTTTATTTAAATGTTGGTAATAAAATACCTTACAAGAAAGTTATTTATAATCTATTGGTAATATAGCAAATAAAAGGAAATAACAATTACTAATAATAACAATACAATAGCTAAGAAGATACTTAATTTTCGAAAGTGTACTTATTAATGTATTTTATAATTTGATCTTAACTTGCTGTTTAGCGTCTCTTAAATCAAAACAAACCAACTGTGTTTCTCGTAAATTATAAAATACAACTTGTTGTTTTACCTTGGATGATGATGAAATAAAATTATAATTGTAATTTGAGATTGATCCGTTGAACATTTAATAATAAATAAAATACTATTATTATTAATATCAACTAAAATTTGTCAACGTAGGCCATATTTTATTTTCTGTTACTAAAGTATTACTTAACACGCAAAATCAATTTGTATTGCTTAATATATTATATTCACTTTTATTTAAAGCTGATAACAGAATAGATATAATTATTATGCTATAAACATAAATGTAAATTTCATATTATTATTCATAGTAGGCAATCATCATTTTCAGGAATTTCGCAAAGTGTGTTTTACTTCCTGACAAAAAAAAATCACATTTTTAAGAGCGATGGTCAATAATGATTATAATTAATTCGTTTGATTGGAGAATCTACCATCTTTATTTTTAGGATGTCCGCCTTTTGGCTCATCAAACATCTCACGTCTTGCGAGTTGCACCCAAGAAACGAACTCTTCATGCGAAAGGAAACCATCACTGTCTTTGTCGTGACTAACGAATTCGTCTAAGAAAAACTTGACTATATATGTATCCAAAACCCCTCTTTTTGTGTGTTCCTGTACAATTTTCACAGTAAAAATTATTGATTAGACTTTCAGAATAGTTATTAAGTAGGAAATGTAATAAATAATAACACAGCAAAGGAATTTTATAATAATAATTTTAACTGTGTGTACCGTCCTACTGCGTTCTGCCGTAACCAACATCAACTCCATCAACTCATTCGCGGCGGATCCTGTGCACGTTTCAAATAGTATTATTCCAAATATTATGTATTATAGCTAAACGTATGAAACTTAAATATTTTAAGACTATATTCTTACGGTTGGATTTGAAAAGCATTTTCGAATAGTGTTTTGAGTCAGCCATACCAAAATCGATGAAGATTTTTTGAATTACCATAGGTTCAATACTGCCGGAATCAGTTTTGCGACAATTATTAAAGAAATCAACGAACTTTTCTATTTGCTGTCGGTCTAGACCGTAACCCTATAATGTAACATGATGAACATTTCACTGGTGTTAATTATTAGACTGTTATATTTCTATATAAATATAAATATCTTTATATGTGTTCAAATTATGTTTTAAATAATATTTGCACATAATGTAATTGCTTACTTCTGGTTTTGTTTCCAACATTATTAATAAGAAATCCGCTTCAGTAATAATAAATTGGGCTGTAATTGAATTAAAATTTAATAATTTCGACTTCATGTAAGCATCCTTTGAAAAGTTCCTTTTTTTTTGTTTAACTTTAAGCTTTGCGACTACTTTTTCGATCTCCTTATCGTATAATTTTAAATCTTTTAAAACACCTGGTAGCTGTTGAAGACTAAGATATCCATCTTGGTCAGAACTGTTTGCGTGTTCGGTGAACACACTGAGGAAAAACTCCACTTCAAACGGTGTAAGTGTTTGATTCTAAGTTCAATATATACACACACAAAATCAATGGGTTATTAATTTAGAATATAATGATATTTGATTACAGTTAAAATACATTTTTTTTTGTTTTTAGTTTTAGAAAGTTATTTCTGACCAAATACCTCGTAATAGCGGTTGTGCGTTTTCTTATCTTTATACGCCAATGCCAATAGTAGCTTCTTCAAATCTACAGAATTGGCTTCATCTATATAAATTGATTAGCATACAAATAGTTTTTTAGTCATTCATTTTTTTTTTTTAAGTACAGAGTGATTAATTTTGAGGAATCGTGAAAAAATGTAACTTTTTAAGTGATAAAAAAATATATTAGAATTTTGTTGTTCTTCGAATGACCAAAAATGGTCTAAATAATTTTAATTTAAAATTATTTAAATTATATAAATAGCAAATTAATAGCAATAGCCAAAACATCTGTATCGTATTGTTTTGAATTTATTACATATATTTCTGAATTTCTGTTATATAATTATTGTGAGCAGTGTAATAATCCCAATACTACTGTTTGTTATTATTAGTCTTATTATTATTGCCATATAGATGTTGTAATACTTTTACTTGTTTGTAGCCACGCGTGTTGGCCAATAGCCCAATCACGCGTTATCGTTATTGACTATTGTTATTATTATTGAGTAGTAGTAGGACTAACCATTGTTTAGTTTAATATAAAAGGGCATTAGTTATTAAGCTAGACACCTCAGTACTTAATTAGTATACTCAGTGATCTAATTGAGACTCTTTGTCACTATTATAAGTATTGTCTTGGATTATTATTGTGTTTAAAAGTGTTAATTAAACATTACTATAAAACTTGTTTATTCTCTGTCTGAATTACCTTTCACATATCTTCTAAGTCTTATAAGTGTGCTGCTTAAATCTCTCGGTGCAGTACAGCAGAGATATAGATATTAACCACAGACTTTAAATTTAGATGACGTGTAGGTATTATTATAAAGAATCGTTTATTATTTCCGTTTTCCACCACGGTAATAACGGTGGTTTTTACTTACTAAAGTTTGAACTCTGATAACACATATTGGTGATATACTGACAAGTACACAGATATACATAATAAACTAGATTGCTAACTAGTGATAAGAATTTTGAATTCGACGTGGGCCATTTTTGTGGGATACGTGTGCATAAAAAATAATATATATGGGATGGTAGGTGGAGTACGGTAGATAGTTATTTTTATCTGCACGCATTACTCTACCGCAATCCATCTCCCATCCCACACTGTACACTTGAATAAAGTAATTATCCAAAACTAGTTGTCGACCGGTCAAAATTTGCACCAAATTATTTTTAATAAAATGGATGTCTTGAAATTTTAAAAATAAGTGTTACAAAAAAATTGTTTTAAATAGTTAGGTGCAATAAAAAACGTGGCGCCTATAGCGCCAATGAGTATGAACAAAAATCTTAGTTATTTCATTTGTCTATATTTGTGGTACACCCTGTATATAGAATAAATATTTGTCAAAACGTTCATATTTTCCTGAAAAATGAGTGTCTTACCCAAGATGAATCACCTTATATAAAGTTTTCTAACAATACTTAGCAGTCAAATGTTAATTGTAAAGTGTAATAAACTCAAGTTTATATATTATGATTCACATATCACAACGCATCTTAGTGCTCTACTTTAATTGCCCGTAGATATCACAATGAATGGAAAATTAAAACAATATTTTACTTGAATCGCAATCAAAAGGTGTTTTAGGTTCTTGAATTCCAAAAAATTCTTTCATAAGCTGTGTGATATTTTTTTCGGTAACTTTGTGATTTTTGTACAGCTTAGTAATTACCCATAGTTGTTTACTGTTCAGTCCAATGCTCTAAAATAAAATAATATCAGTTACCGTTACATTAAACGTGTATTGCGATGACGTGGCAGATTTACACATATTTTGTATACTGTTCTGTCAAGCCAACGTTGTATGATCTACACACACATATTAGTTATTTTTAGACATTTTATCTTAGATAAATTAATATCTATATACTCTTACCCATGCTGACGTTAAGAGATACAACGCGCAAAGAATAACAGAACTTTTAAAATGCATAGTACCTTTTTTATGAATTAAAGTTCAAACGAGTACATGTAAAACAAAACTACTACGGGCACCAAATTCATATAACGAACAGCCAAAGAAGTATTTTTTACTGGTTTTTCGTATTGACGCAAATGTAAACGACTATTTCTGTCGGCCAAACGTATTTGGTCGTTGGCAAGGCGGAAGATGAAGGGTTTTACACACAACTGTAGATTTTTGTACCATTTTTTTGCACCAATATTATTTACAAAAACACGTATTTTTTTTTTACCTTGGATGTGGAGATGTGATGGTTTTTTTGTATACAATAAATGTGTTTTTATTTTGTGTTGTTTAGCTATTGATAAGAATCAACGAATGTATATGAAAAAACCTATTTATTATATTGCTTATTACACGGATAACAAAGAGAACAAATGATTAAGAAAACCCATGAAATAAATACAATTTTAATAATTCTACTGTCTTTACAATGCTCAATACTGGACCAATTCCTTCGAGTAGCGACTTTATAAATTACAAATTCCATCTAGTTGGTACTTTGAAGGGGAGTGTAAAATTTAAAAAAGTTTACTGCTTCACAGTTAAAATAAATAACATATTAATCGAAGAAAAAATTGGGAACTTCAGTTTTTCTTTAATTGCCAGAAAACTGTGTTTTTCGCAGATTTTGTATATTTTAACATAAACATTTTAAAACTTAAAAATGTGTTACCAAATCATTACAATATTATTATGGGCATCTATTCAGAATGATACTATTAAGTTTTGATACTCTAGTACCAGTTATACTTACAGTTTTTGTTTTACTGAAGTTTTTTTTGGCTGAATGCGTTTTAAAATAAAATAAATCTTCGGTGTTTTGGATCGTGGCACAATTTGTTCTCTGTTTTTAAGGTTGATTCATATTTAGTGCTCTAGAATTTTCTTAGTTTTTTATGTTCAGTCGAATTCATCTCAATCTCATAGACCTTGTCTATCCAAAACGCATTATAGATCAGAACAATTTTTAAGCAAATTATTTGCAATTAAAAATGTTAACTAGTTATGTATGTCAACATTAAAGTTTCAACAATTGACAAATTACCAGGAAGAGTATAGATTTGAGTGTAGACTAAAATTGTAAAAAAAAAAAATAACTAATATGTCTCATAAAGAAAAAATCGCAAAATTATTGTGTACTATAATTAATGAAACGTGCGGTATAAAAATATGCTGCATCTATGCCTTACCAAAAACAGTCATTACTGAACAAAATGCGCTTCTTAAATTTGTTTTAGAGAAAAAGTGAAGAGGAGAATGTAATCTTTATTAAAAATAACAACGTTTTGATTGAAGATTTCGTGAACATAATAAAATACTAAAAATGTTGACGGCTTCGCAACGGGTTGGTAGTTATAATTTTAATTATTTTTTTTTACTTTATTAGCACGATTGATCACGAATATCAGAATCAATTTTATAAAAAAAACATTTGTACACACTTTAAACTAGGTCATAAACAAAAATCTGTGCAAATTTTCATTTTCTTGCAGGTCTCGTACAATACACCGCGTACATATTTTGAATACAATTACCAAATATTACAGAATAGATTGCTATAATTTTTTTTTTTTTTGGTAATATTTTCAATCTTTAGATTATATTAAAGTACAAAAAGGGAACGGTAATCATGCCGCAAGAGTATAATAAATTAAATGATTTACCATTGTGTATGGGTTCACTTTAGATGTCTCTCAAATAATAAAACATAAATACATGAACACAGAATTAGTAAGATGCACAGATCATTTTCATGAGTTCACTGTAAATACTAAATATTTTTTTGGAAATTCCATATTGTGCAGTTTTATTTGAACTGTATCTTGGTAAGCAAATAAAGTATTTCACAATTTCCAGTAGTTGTGTTAAACATAACAAACAATTTGATTGAGTACCCATTTTATGGTTTAACACCCAACTGTGTTAAATCTTATTGTATAAATCTTACTTGGAATCGGTCAACGACTAATAGGATAAATTAAGAGTGTTAAAAATTGTAACAGTTTTCAAATAAAAAAAAAAAATATGCATATGGCGTATTGACAGGGAGTGGCTTTGGCTAGTTTTCAAACGAAGTAACGAGAATTAATGTACTGAAGCGGCTCAATGTTAACAGCGTTAAGCTAATTAACATTTTTTTAGATCAAATATTTTGTTTTGAACCATAATTTGTTTTAAAAAACCAGTGCGTGTTACGAGTACGCGCGGATGAAGTGAAACTTCTTTCAGAGATACTTACCTGATAGAATATTAGGTTTGTATTGTAATAATATGAATTACTGAACTCGGTGTAGTACAAATTGTGTAATAAAAGATATGCTTATGTGAAGATTTGTATATTAATTAAAATAGTTTTAAATTGGAAAAACCAAAAATGTTTTTTTAAATGCAACATAATTAAGGAACTATGAAAAATATTGTAGAAAATATATAACTACCAGCAACTTGCAACTGCCTATTGTACTAACTTTTAAAATTTGCTTCATTTGCTTTATCTCTAATTTTCGTTTGTCATAATTCTGAAATGCACACAACAGTGTCAACACTTTTTTGTTATTATAACGCGTTATGGAACTAATCCAGTTTAGCGCCCACGCATATTTGGCGATTGTTTATTCTTCAAAATGTATGGTACTTTACGCTGACGGCGATGGTGAAGTCAGATTTGGTCGGTCGAACTTACATTAGAAGTTATAAACAAAAACTATACTTTTTACAAATATTTGTATAAATGTTATAATTTCAAAAGTAACCACCGACCGACCAAATATTACTTTGCCGTCGTCATCAGCGTACAAAAAAATCACATTATGAGGATGAAAAAAAAAAGAAAAATACCCTGGACTCTAAACTATATATTAATGGCGAAAGGGCATAAAAGGAAAATGCAGACTAAAAATTATTTTAAAATTGTGCCACGATCCAAAACGCCGAAGATTTATTTTATTTTAAAACGCATTCAGCCAAAAAAAACTTCAGTAAAACAAAAATTGTAATTATAACTGGTACTAAAGTATCAAAACTTAATAGTATCATTCTGAATAGATGCCCATAATAATATTGTAATGATTTGGTAACACATTTTTAAGTTTTAAAATGTTTATGTTAAAATATACAAAATCTGCGAAAAACAGTTTTCCGGCAATTAAAGAAAAACTGAAGTTCCCAATTTTTTCTTCGATTAATATGTTATTTATTTTAACTGTGAAGCAGTAAACTTTTTAAATTTTACACTTCCCTTCAAAGTACCAACTAGATGGAATTTGTAATTTATAAAGTCGCTACTCGAAGGAATTGGTCCAGTATTGAGCATTGTAAAGACAGTAGAATTATTAAAATTGTGTTTATTTCATGGGTTTTCTTAATCATTTGTTCTCTTTGTTATCCGTGTAATAAGCAATATAATAAATGGGTTTTTTTATATACATTCGTCGGCTCTTATCAACAGCTAAACAACACAAAATAAAAACACTTTTATTGTATACAAAAAAAACTAACACATCTCCACATCCAAGGTAAAAAAAAAATACGTGTTTTTGTAAATAATATTGCTGCAAAAAAATGGTACAAAAATCTACAGTTGTGTGTAAAACCCTTCATCTTCCACCTTGCCATCGACCAAATACGTCTAATAAAATTTGGCCGGCAAACATAGTTTTTACACTTGCGCCAATACGAAAAACAAGTAAAAAATACTTGTTCGACTGTTTATTCGTTATATTACTTCGGTCCCCGTAGTCGTTTTTTTTTACACAGGTTTGAATTTTTTTTCGTTTGCATTTTAATTCTTTAAAAAGGTACAATGCATTTTAAAACTGCTGTTATTCTTTGCGCGTTGTATCTCTTAACGTCTGCACGGGTAAGGGTATTTAGATATTACTTTATCTCAGATAAAACAATGTCTAAAAATAATTAATATATGTGTGTAGATTATATAACATTCGTTTGACAGAACGGTGTATAAAATAAGTGTTGATCTGCCACGTCATGGCAATACACATTTAGTGTAACTGTAACTGATGATATTTTATTTTAGAGCATTGGACTGAACAGTACACAGCTATGTGAAATTATTGATCTGTACGAAAATCACAAAATGTCTGCTGGCCGAATTGCCGAAGAAAAAATCACACAGCTTATGGAAAATTTTTTTGGAATTCAAGAGTCTAAAAAACTTTTTGATCGCGATTCAAGTAAAATATTGTTTTAATTTTCCATTCATTATGATACATACAGGCAATTAGAGTGTAGCACTAAGATGCATTGTGATATGTGAATCATATTATATATTAATCGACTGGTTCACAACAAATTTTGGAATTACTTTTAAATGTATTTAAGTTTACAGTGTAGGATGGGAAGTGGATTGCGGTAGAGTGATGCGTGCAGATAGAAATAACTATCTACCGTACTTCACCTCCCATCCCATATATATATTATTTTATTTTTGTACACTTATCCCACAAAAATGGCCCACGTCGAATTCAAAATTCTTATCACTAGTTAGCAATCTAGTTTATTATGTATATCTGTGTACGTGTCAGTATATCACCAATATGTGTTATCAGAATTCAAACTTTAGTAAGTAAAAACAACCGTTATTACCGTGGTAGAAAACGGAAATAATAAACATTTGTTTATAATAACACCTACACGTCATCTAATTTTAAAGTCTGTGGTTTATATCTAAATCTTCGTTCACAATAATTATACAACAGAAAATCAGAAATATATGTAATAAATTCAAAAAAATACGATACAGATGTATTTGGCTATTGCTATTAATTAGCTACTTATATAATTCAAATTTAAATGTTCACGTTTTTAACCATTTAATGAAAAACAAAATTCTGACACTTTTTTTGATCTCTTTAAAGTTACATTTTTATTGACAAATTTCACGATTACCAAAAATTAATCATTCTATACTGTAAATAAATGAACGACTTAAAAGTAATTGTGTACTAATCAATTCGTATAGACGGAAACAATGCTGTAGATTTAAAGATGTTACTGTTGACATTGGCGTATAAAGATAAGAAAACACACGACTGCTTCCAGGTATTGGTCTAAAATTACTTTTTAAAACTAAAAACAAAAAAATTACATCAACCGTAATCAAATATCGTAATACTCTAAATGAATAACGCATTGGTTTTTTGTGTGTATACATTGGACATAGACTCAAATGCTTACACCTTTTGAAGTGGAGTTTTTCCTCAGTGTGTTTACCGAACACGCAAACAGTTCCAACCAAGATGGACGTCTTAGTCTTCAACAGCTACCAGGTGTATTAGAAGATTTTAAATTAGACGATACGGAGATCGATAAAGTAGTCAAAAAACTTAAAGTTGATAAAAAAAAAAGGATCTTTTCAAAGGCTGGTTACACAATGTCGAAATTTTTAAATTTGAATTCAATTAAAGCTCAATTTGTTATTAATGAAGCGGATTTCTTGTTGATAATGTTGGAAATAAAACCAGAAGTAAGCAATTTTATATTATGTGCAAAAAGTGGAAAAATATAATCTCTAGCGGATTATTAAATAAAAGCTTTATAAAACAACGAACTTTTTATCGTTGTATATTAAATAGCAATGGTCTGTTGAGACTTTGAAAGTTCGAATTTTCAATAAAAATATAGTACTATTTTAAATTCTTAAAAATATATATTAAATTAAATCTGTATTATGTAAAAACGAACAATGCAAATAAAACATGTTTTTAAAACACAATAAAACAAATTGAATTATTTGATTTTTGAAATTTTATTAATCATTTTTTTCAGTTTTGCCATTTTTAAAACATAAAGTATCAAACGAATATTAATTGTTATTTTATTTGAATATACATCCAAAAAACTAAATTCATTGTTTTCTAATCATACGAATTTTACGATAATAACATTATCAGTCTGATTAATACCATTAAAATGTTCATCTTAAGTATTGCTTTCTTATATGAATGCTTACATTATAGGGTTATGGTTTAGACCTACAGCAAATAGAAAAGTTCGTTGATTTGTATAATAATTGTCCAAAACGGATTCCGGTAGTATTGATCCTCTGGAAATTCAAAAAATCTTCAAAGAGTTTGGTATGGCTGACCCGAAACATGATTCGAAAATGCTGTTCAAATCCAACCGTAAGAATATAATGTTAAAGTTTTCACGTTTCATACGTTCAGCTATAATACATAATATTTGAAATAATACTTATTGAAACCTGCACAGGATCCGCCGCACATGAGTTGTTGGAGTTGATGCTGGTTACGGCAGAACGCTGTAGGACGGTACACAAAATAAAAATTATTAATTTTTTTTATAAACATAAAATGTCTTCGCTGTATTATTACATTACCTGCTAATTAACTTTTTGATTGTCTAAACGATATTTTAGCTTCGATGCAAAGCGAGAAGGTATTGGTTTTACTCTGATGTGGGCTTTTTTTTTCGCTGTATACACTGTAACTTTTTTAATACTAGACCAATTCCTTTGAATAGCAACTCTATAAATCACAAATTTTGTCTAGTTTGTACTTTGGGGGGGTAAAAGTTGAAAAAGTTTAAGTCTTCACAGACGAAAGTTGAAAAAACAAAAAAAAAACCCGTACAAGTTTTTAAGTTAGAACTTTTACTGGCTATAGTATCGAGAAAAAGAGTCGGATCGAGTTGAAATGTATAAGAAATATTTATTTGGTATGCCCGCGCACGTCAGTTTTGTCAAATTCAAAATATACCCATTTCCCGCCCCCCTAGGGGGGGTACAAGTTTTTTTGTTTTTCGGGGTTTTAAGCCGTAATTTTAAAACTTTTGGGTTCAAAATTTGCCAGTAGTTGGAACTCATATGTATCCATAACATATTAAGCGGGTGAAAAATTCGGCACTACAGTTTTTTTTTAATTGCCGGAAAACCGTGTTTTCGCACATTGCGTATATTTTAACAAAAACACCTAAAATCTTTAAAAAAAATTGATCAAATCATTAAAACAATTTTATTTATATCTATGCAGAATGATACTATTAGGTTTTGCGATCAAGTACCACTTTTGACTTAAAGTTTACACAAATTCAATTTTTTTTTTTTTTTTACTTAAGTTCTTTCCGGATGATTAAAATTGAGAACTGATATTAAATTCGTAATCACCGACCCAAAAAAACATATAATTTGACCACTTTTGATGTCTTTTACACAAAAATCCAGAAAAATGTTTTAGCTTCGATGCAAAGCGAGAAGGTATTGGTTTTACTCTTATTTGAAAGCGATTTTATTCAATTTTATCACTTTTATTTATGATAATTCTTGTAGACCTGTGACCTCTCCGTTTCCTCATTGCTTTGATTACATTATGCCAATACTCTACTGTACTAGTCCACTCGGATAAAATCACTTTCAAATTAACGCTTCGATGCTCATTTGTAAATACAGAACCTTCATTTAAAACTTTCTAACTTTGCTGGTTTATACTGTGCTTGGTTTGGACTGTACTGGCTTGAAAATACTAACTACCGATTTGCATCGAAGCGTTTTTTCGAAAGTGATTTTATCACTTTCAGATTTAAAAATTCCTGTAAACCTGTGACCTCCCCGTCACCACTATGCCCCGACCCAACTATGCTCCGTCCCCACTATGCACCGACCCCACTGTACTGGTTTTTTATTTTTTACATTGAAAACGGTTCAGGAACACATGGATGAACAAGGGATTATGGATACATTTATAGTCCAGGGATTCTTAAGAGATTTCGTTAGTTACGACAAAGACAGTGATGGTTTCCTCACACATGAAGAGTTTTCTTCTTGGGTGGAACTCGCAAGACGTGATATGTTTGATAAGCCAAAAGGCGGTCATCCTCAAAATTTCGACGGTAGATCTGCAAAAATACATTAACGAATCAATCATAATTCGTATTGACCATTGCTCATACAAATATAATTTTTTTTTTTTTTAGGAGATAAAACAAACTTTGCGAATTTCTTGAAAATAACTTTTTGCTACTATGAAAAGACTAAAAAACAAGAGGAAATTGAGCAAACCATTGAATCTGATGATGACAAACAAGCCTAAACAATTATATATTAATTTTATCTTCTGCATGCACAATATTCGTAATAGTATTATTTTAAATTTCAACATATTTACATTTATTTATTAATTAAAATTTTAAAGTACCGCTCCTTTATGTCTAATATAGAAAATTAATGTAATTAGAATTTTTTTTTTTTTGACATGAAATATATAGTTATATATTATAATATTGGTTTAATTATTTCTGTAGCAAATGTTTTACACAATATGGTATAACGCTGTGAGTTCCTTTATGTTTTTGTATTCGTTTTCATCGGACTATTTAAATGTATTCAGTCCAAGTTAATCATTTTGCGAAACTGTATTATCAAAAATGATTCTAAAACAACTACGTGTGGCATATTTGCTTGTAAGCAATGCAAAGACTATAATACGAATAATGAATACATTATCATGTATTCTATTCTGACTTTAAAGTAACTGACAATTTAGAAAGACTGTGCAACACATATGTTTGGAAAAACACGTGAACAGAAATTAGTACATTATTTACATCACATATAAATAAAGAATACATTGTTCAAGGTAAAGAAATGGATCCCGCAAGAGATTCTGCGAAGATCTATCACACAGCTATTGATATATTCAAACTGTTTATGTTGCGAATTATGTGGACTTTCTTGGATAATTTTCTATATTTTATTAGAAAACTTCTATATTTTACAAAATTTCTATATTTTACAAAATGTCTATATTTTATTATAAAATTTCTGTTTATTATATTTCTATATTTTTTAAAATTTCTGTATTTTATAAAATGTTTATATTTTATTATAAAATTTCTGTGTTTAATAAAACTTTTATACTTCATAAAAAGTCTATATTTTATTATAAAATGTCTGTGTTTAATAAAATTTCTATACTTAATTATAAAACTTCTATATTTTATAAAATTTCTGTATTTGATCAAATTTCTTTATTTTATAAATTTTTTTTTTTCATATAAAATGTCTGTATTTTAATATAAAATGTCTTTATTTTATTACAAAATTTCTGTATATTTTAAAATTTCTATATTTTATTATAAAACTTCTGTATTTTATAAAATTTGTATACTTTATTATAAAATGTCTGTATTTCGTTGTATAATTATGACAGTGGAACGGTGACAATTACTCTGAATATGGATCCTGCAACGGGTTCGAAACATCAGTTAACCAATGACGACGTAGAGAGATTCGCAAAAGATTAAACTAAAATACAATGTAGATAAAATAATACAGTTATTAAATATGTGTGGGGCTGTACATGCTAATATATAACTTAACATGTACAACGTACGTATGGTATAGAGTTGTTGTTAAAGCCTAAGCCTAATCAAAAAATAAATACATTTTCTCAATTATTTGGGAAGATTCACAAAAAATCTTTTAGGTTCATAGTGGAATTGATACAAAAAGCTTTTTATCATATGTATATCATTATACCTGTTATATTTCAAAATCTCGCATTCTATCATATAAATTATAGGTTTATGATACCTAACTAAAGTCTGTATATTATATAATATATATATTTGTTTTTTTCAATCAAACAGCACTAGGAGTAAGATAAATAAAAAAACCCAAGTCTGTGGTATTTATGTATAATAATTTGTTCAGTAATTATCCTTCTTTCAGTATAAATTACCATAAAAGTTGAAAAGTCATCGTTTGACGACTACTCCAATGATTTGTTGTCGTCCCGAAAAAAATCATGTTTAATAAACCAATGTAGTTGTTAGATGCATTTTCTGTCTAGGGGAAATCATACTGCACCGATTAGTGCATTAGTGTAATAATAATTACATAATCCAATAGCCATGTCGTTATTTTATAACCTTAACCACATCCTATACCTAGTTATCAATATAACATTAAATATGCAAGTCAGGTAGCTTGTAAATACGGTGACATAACCATGTAAAACCAAGTTACTATTTACATAAAACAATTACAAATAGTTTGCCTGTAGTGTTTAAATTTGTTAAATTTGACGGAATAGCGTCCTCTCAAGAACCAGTATATTTTCTTTTAAATTAGATCATGAATGACCGCTCTTATAAAAAAAAAAAAAAAAAAACCATGGCAAACATAAATTTGATGCATTTTTACTTTTATTAAATAGAATGCAGTGTCTAATTAAAAATTAAAAGGCATATTACATTTATTATTATATTATTACTATCATTTTAATTATTATAAAGTATAATATGACGAATAAAATAAATATGAATACCTATTAGTCGATGAAGATATTAGTAGTGCTTTAAAAAAAAAATATTTGAATTTAATAAAAAAAAGTATTATAAATTTATTTAGAATACTTTTGGTTCTTTGTCTAACGTATCATAGTAGTAACTCTAGTTTTGCTACTAGATTGTCTGTCTCAATGTTGTCTACTTGATAAAATATTTTATTAATGTATCTGTATTTTTCAAATTGGCCGTTTCCATATCTTAAGATACAAATGCGATTTTCAAGATTAGCGGTCAATAATACAGCAGTTTTTGTACTCTTCCACGCTTTTATGTAACAACACATATATTTTAAAACATAGTACATGGCTAACGAGTCTGTAATATCTGGGTATTTCGGATCTAAAAAAAAAAGATATATTTATTAGCTTAGTAACCAATACTTTACTTTCTTTATTGTGCAATACAAAACTGCTGTAGTGCATAAAAAAAATAATACAATTATATAAACGTTAGATTAGACAAACCTATCAAATATGTGTTGTGTGAACTTTATAATATTCGTACATTATAATTAAAAAACTAAATTTGTGTGTTACTGGAATAAGGGTTAGGCAACTTTGATTCATTAAGGGTTTTACACTAATTTTCTCGAAATATATAAATATTTTGAACAATATTTTTTTTCCAAGATTTTTTGGTACACATTGTACTATATTTTTTAAATTTTTTATCACTAATCCTTGAAGGCCAAAAAGGGGAATTTTTATTTTAGCTTCGATGCAAAGCGAGAAGGTATTGGTTTTACTCTGATGTGGGCTTTTTTTTTCGCTGTATACACTGTAACTTTTTTAATACTAGACCAATTCCTTCGAATAGCAACTCTATAAATCACAAATTTTGTCTAGTTTGTACTTTGGGGGGGTAAAAGTTGAAAAAGTTTAAGCCTTCACAGGCGAAAGTTGAAAAAACAAAAAAAAAACCGTACGAGTTTTTAAGTTAGAACTTTTACTGGCTATAGTATCGAGAAAAAGAGTCGGATCGAGTTGAAATGTATAAGAAATGTTTATTTGGTATGCCCGCGCACGTCAGTTTTGTCAAATTCAAAATATACCCATTTCCCGCCCCCCTAGGGGGGGTACAAGTTTTTTTGTTTTTCGGGGTTTTTAGCCGTAATTTTAAAACTTTTGGGTTGAAAATTTGCCAGTAGTTGGAACTCATATGTATCCATAACATATTAAGCGGGTGAAAAATTCGGCACTACAGTTTTTTTTTAATTGCCGGAAAACCGTGTTTTCGCACATTGCGTATATTTTAACAAAAACACCTAGTCTTTAAAAAAAATTGATCAAATCATTAAAACAATTTTATTTATATCTATGCAGAATGATACTATTAGGTTTTGTGCTCAAGTACCACTTTTGACTTAAAGTTTACACAAATTCAACTTTTTTTTTTTTTTTTAACTAAAAACCCAGTGTACCAGATGTGAGAAACGAACAGACACTAAAAACTATCAGTTGGTAACGTCGATCCGTGTTAGATTAGGTTAGGGCCCAATGATCGGTATCATAATATTGTGTTTATTACATGATATCACAGGCGACTAAATCGTGTGACTGATTATAGTAGACACTCGATTTATTGGGAAAAAAACCTGTCCGTGTACTTATTAAGACACTTAATGATTCTGATACGACAAAACCACTGTCGTTATCTCGTTATTTTATAGCCTGCGTTATATAACCTTACCGAAGGTTAACTATGAGTATTTAATGTCCAACTACCTGCAAATAATGAAGAGGACTGTTGTTTTTTGGATTCAGATTAAGTGTTGGTTGTTATGCAGTATACCGCCTCAAAATGTTTTTTTTATTACACAATTTTTTTAAAGGAAAACTAATGTTTTGTATATTGTTATACTGTTATTCATTTAAAGAGATTCACGCTTGATTGTTTAAATTGTCTAATATTAGATAATCTGCTTCGTGCTAATTTTATTTTTTTAGTTTATCAACTTGTAGCTCTAATTTTGTAAAAAATATTTCATTATTTTATTACTATGTACTATTACTATTAAGATAAATTTTAATAATAATTAAGTCATAAATGATAATACTTTATTTTATGACTAGATCAAATCTCGTGAACATTTAACATCATGATACTGCTCCTATGCTATTATTAAAAAAACACAATTTTTAAAATCTCCATAAAAGGTTATTGTTAAATAACAGGCAACAGCCGACTGCTAGTGGCTATACACGTTAGTAATATTTAACTAATAAGTAATAAATGTAGGTAAAATTTATTGTTTTCTCCATCACAGTACCAGTATACGATTTATTTTAATTTAAATGTAAGAAAATCGATTTTTCTTTAGAAAATAACAAGAAATTAATATACAGGATGAGGCAGTAAAACGGCGATTTTCTAATGTATTTAAATGGTAAAACCCGTTTCACTATCCCACCCTTTACATTTTAAGGATCTATGAAAAGGTTTTTTTAGTTGCATTTTATTTTGTACATTGTCAATCTAGTAAAATAGAAGTATAATATAGCTTTGAAATAATATAATCTGTGAAGTATAAATAGTTTGTGTGAGATTGCTTTAATGGAAGTATATAATACATAAATATTAATTTTATTGAGAATAAGCGATTATAATTTAAACTATGGAGTACAAACGATTGAAACATGAATCGTCGACCATTCCAACAAAATATAACAAGACATTGTATATGTGTTATTTGGTCCACTAAGTTTTTGCAAAAAAAAAAAAAACCAGTACAGTGGGGTCGGTGCATAGTGGGGACGGAGCATAGTTGGGTCGGGGAATAGTGGTGACGGGGAGGTCACAGGTTTACAGGAATTTTTAAATCTGAAAGTGATAAAATCACTTTCGAAAAAACGCTTCGATGCAAATCGGTAGTTAGTATTTTCAAGCCAGTACAGTCCAAACCAAGCACAGTATAAACCAGCAAAGTTAGAAAGTTTTAAATGAAGGTTCTGTATTTACAAATGAGCATCAAAGCGTTTATTTGAAAGCGATTTTATTCAATTTTATCACTTTTATTTATAATAATTCTTGTAGACCTGTGACCTCTCCGTTTCCTCATTGCTTTGATTACATTATGCCAATACTCTACTGTACTAGTCCTCTCGGATAAAATCACTTTCAAATTAACGCTTTGATGCTCATTTGTAAATACAGAACCTTCATTTAAAACTTTCTAACTTTGCTGGTTTATACTGTGCTTGGTTTGGACTGTACTGGCTTGAAAATACTAACTACCGATTTGCATCGAAGCGTTTTTTCGAAAGTGATTTTATCACTTTCAGATTTAAAAATTCCTGTAAACCTGTGACCTCCCCGTCACCACTATTCCCCGACCCAACTATGCTCCGTCCCCACTATGCACCGACCCCACTGTACTGGTTTTTTTTAAATGGCAACATATGTTTTTAATTACATACATTTGTAGACAAAAATTAAAAAAATATTTTAGCGTTTGAATTTTCATTTATTTGTTCATTGGCTATGACTTTGTTAAGATACTACATTTTTTCTTAATAATTATCATATTTCTTCGGTTTTCCAAAACCGATAGCACATAAGGTTCATATTTATGTCCGCATTGTCCATTTGGCGATAACACTCTTACAAAAAAAAAGTCACTGGTATAAAAGACTTTGAAACAATGATAGACAAACGGATCTTATCTACAGATTACCTATTCCAACACAGGTACACAGGTTGGTTTTACAAACCCACTTAATCAAATTATTTTTATGCGTGTAATAAAACTACTCGTTTTTGTAGTACGATTGAAAATATTAAGAACTACAGTCAAAAAATCAAATCTTTTTAAAGTCATAACAAATGAACAAATAAATGAAAATTCAAAATTTAAACGCTAAAATATTTTTTTATTTTTTGTCTACAAATGTATGTTATTAAAAACATATGTTGCCAATTAAAAAAAACTAAAATCCTTTTTGGCCTTCAAGATTTGGTGATAAAAATGTTCAAAATTTTGAAAAATATATATTATATAATATATAATATAATATATTCCGAGGAAATGAGTGTCTTATCCTTAATGAATCACAGATCGTATCTAGTCGGTACATTGAAGGGTTCCTATTTTATGATTATTTTTTTTTCAAGTCAACTTTGAGTGCACCAGATCTGAATAACGAAAACACTAATTTTCGGTTGGTATCACTGTCACAATCTACTCAGACGGCATCTTGCCACCGCGTTGTGTGAGAAAAACTTGCGATAAAACGTTAAACGGCTCTGTAATGAATTAAAATGCTAGCGTAGTGTACTTAAAATTTCTTATCTAGTATATATAAAGAAATATCATTTTTAAATAAACTACAATACAACAAATTAAAACATGGGTAGCATAGTGGTATAGATTTTTTTTTGCCATAATTCCTTTAGACCAGTGATCTCCCGCGTACCCACTATGCCTTGACACCACTATACTGGTTTTTTTTTGACATTTTTATGTCTTTGCTATGGAACACACACGGAAAATCGACACCGCTCATAATAACGAAAAAACCAACACCGCTTATCATAACGAAAAAACCGACACCGACACCGGTTATCATAACGAAAATAACAGCTGATTTATCTGGTAAGAGAGATAAGAGATAGGGGGTGAAAGGTAGGGGTAAGAGTTAGAGGGTAAGAGTAAGGAGGTGAGAGATAGGGGGTGATAGATAGGGTGAGAGTTAGGGAGTAAGAGATGAGGGTTGGGGTTGGGGTGGGAATGAGGGGGGCATATATGTTGTATTCACAACGTTCAAAATAGAAATGAATAATAAATTCAATAATTTAAGGGGCCAAATTCTCTATGAATTGTTTTGGGCCAGATATTATGAAAACACTAAAATATTAGCCAGAAACTTTATATGTTTACTAGCCACCTTAGATTAGTGATGTGACATAAATCCGGATTCTTCGAAAATCCGAATTCTGGATTTCAAAATCCGAAAATCGAAATTTCGAATTTCAAAATCAGATTATTAGAAAACACTCAAAAGTTTATCTTTTATAGTAATTCCCAGAGCTCTGCCAACTTTAGAAATCCAAATGGAAACATAATATATATTTAATTTTTTTTTTTTAATTACGAATAATTTGCTGAATATATTAACTGGTTGGTAACTGTTTCTGGATGTACACTTTTAAAGTTATTAAAGTGTATAACTTAGAATGGGAGATGAAGTGCAATGGAGATGAGTGCACAGATAAAAATAATCCTTCAATAATACTCGTTCCCCTATCGATAATTTTAAACTTTAACAACTAAAAGTAATTATCAAAAACTGTTTATCGACCAGTCAAAAGTTTCAGTAAATTATTCTTAATTTATAAAATGTATTAAATATTTATGTTACAATTTGAGTTTCTAAAGTTAGTAAAGTTAATTACCGATATCGGATACAGCTATACTGGTTTATCAATAATACAAATACATTTTAAGTTAAAAATTAATTAATGTTCTAAACAACCGAAATCAGCATTAAGAAACATTAAATTAAAATTTTTAGATTTCGGATTTCGAACTTCGGTAAATCCGGATTTTCCCCATCATTACCTTAGATACATAAAAATGTATCCTGTTGTGTTGCGGACTCGTAAGTAAGCTGTTAAATTTAATTTTTTCTTGTGCTTGTTATTTCAATGTTTTTTTAATACTCGTCCTGTATTTCTGTTACGATAAAAGAAATGTTCCTAATTTTTTTTTGGATTTTTCCAAATGGCTTTGTTTGTGTAGGATATTTTTAGTTTTTTTTTCTACATTTTTTTTGTTATTGTTTACTCTTATTTATAGTATTTTCGGCCATCAAATACATCAATGAAAATCAGTTTTTATACAAAAAAAAAATCTCGTATCTAGAAAGAATGTAGTTAGATAAATAAAATAATATAGGTTTTCTACGAATTTACACCAATTGTTTAATTCCAAACGTTTATACGAAAAACCCAATTCAAAATAAAAAGTGTAAATTTCATATTATATTTAAATATTTCTCAAGCTTTCTGAAAAAAAAAAATAGTTCAAAAATTTTACTTGTTCTAGGCAACAGGAAGATCAGCTTTTTAATAAACTCAACGTGTTGCTAATACTAGTAAAAAAGAACGGTAAAATAAAAAATCTCATCGTAGCCAAAATAAGCGGAAAAAAAATATTTGGGAACATCCCTTTTATTGTTACAGACATGCACGATAAGTATCGACAAGTTCTGACCAAGGGGTTCTACAAAAGTTCATTCATATTTGTCGTTTTTGTTGAAATAAAATATTTATAAGCAAAAACATAATAATGGTTAAAAAAGTAGTACCATTAAAACTCTATATTTACTTGATAATTCGGCTAATTCACGGGCAATTATATTTTTCAACGCTATTCCGGTAAGAGATCTTCTCTCTTCTCCGAGGCGGATCAAAATATCTAAGCCTTTTAAACCTGCAAGAATTAAAAAATAAAATATTGTACATGATACATATTTTTATTCATACATACATATTTAAGTATTATAAATTTATTATTATTTACTATTCAAATGGTAAATTTGTGTTAACATTTTTGAAAAATAAAAATAAATTAGTTGCTTGCGATATACAATTTCATCGCACTCCAAAAAAAACCTAAGTAGAATTACTTATTTGAAGAGACTGTTCAAACTTGACATTCAACACTGAAATCGGTACACACAAAAATGAAATTAACCACAGAAGTCTCTTATTTAATCGCAGACTTACAAGAAGCCCACACATAAAATCAAAACCTAAGCAACTTAATATCCGTTTGCACTTGTTTCCACCCTTGCTGCATACAAACCACTTCTTCAGCCCATTCGGTCTTATGGCGGGTCTGCCGAATTCTCTAAGACACTCCAGGCATTCTAGATCATTGTTCTTCGCATCATTACAAAAGCTTCTTGGTGTATGATTAATAGTCAACTCCACAAATACCTTAAAGGCAATGCGGCCAATAAAACGGCTATACTGTTTATCCCAATTGTATCCCAACCGGTCCTGGCAATCCGGCTCAACTCCTCGCTCTCCAACGGTGCAGAGACTTGTTACAAACATTCAATAACAACATTTGTTCTTGGTTTTTTTTTATCTTTTTTTCACTTTCATTTTGTTGCAAAGTGTTAAATATTGACATACGTCGTTCAATATGATACCGTAGGTTAGCTGTTAAACAGCAATTAGGTCTCACTCTCTCTCCCCAATTAAAAGTTTACTATGTTGTAATATTATCATGTGAACGAAAAATATAGGTAAGGCAAATTTCATAATTAAGGAGATTGCACGCTGTCTGTTTTCAAGCAGTTTTGTATAGGCAATATTTAAGAAAACGGAGGTTTTAATAAATGTCGACCGTGTCAATTAATTTACCGATTGATTTTTTCTATAAGTAAAAGCCATTTTGGTTTATTTTAGCTGCCCAAAAAGCCAGACAAAGTTTCGTCTACATTGGATAGTCCAATTTCAATTTTGCAAAGAGATTAGAGTTCTTTGGCTACTTTACCATGTTTCCTACTCAGAAATCTGTTTCCTGCATAGCCTAGTAAAGTTGCCAAAGAACTCTTATGTCTTTACAGGATTGAAATCGGACCACATTAAGTAAACGAAATTTTGACAGTCTTATTGTTTCAAAACGTCAAAAATAAATTGACAACATTCAATGCCCTTAAAAAAAACTATAAGCTCTATTTACTACTATTGAATAAATTTGTAATTACTTTCGTCTGAATCTTCAGGCACAGGAATTTTAACTGAAACAAATAAAGAATGTAAAAAAAAACATACGGTTAGTTAAAGATGATATTTATATTTTATCACAAAGATCTAAAACTGAGATTAATTTCATAATTAATGAGATTGCACGCTGTCTTTCAAGGAGTTATGTATAGGCAATATTTAAGAAAACGGAGGTTTTAATAAATGTCGACCGTGTCAATTAATTTACCGATTGATTTGTAAAAGCTTTATGGTGTTATTTTTAATTTAAATATTTTTTTCTATAAGTAAAGGCCATTTTGGTTTATTTTAGCTGCCCAAAAAGCCAGACAAAGTTTCGTCTACATAGGATAGTCCAATTTCAAATCTGCAAAGAGATTAGAGTTCTTTGGCTACTTCACCATGTTTCCTACTCAGAAATCTGTTTCCTGCATAGCCTAGTAAAGTTGCCAAAGAACTCTTATGTCTTTACAGGATTGAAATCGGACCACATTAAGTACACGAAATTTTGCCAGTCTTATTGTTTCAAAACGTCAAAAATAAATTGACAACATTCAATGCCCTTAAAAAAAACTATAAGCTCTATTTACTACTATTGAATACATTTGTAATTACTTTCGTTTGAATCTTCAGGCACAGGTGTTTTAGCTGTAACAAATAAAGAATGTAAAATAATCATTAGGTTAGTTAAAGACGATATTTATATTTTATCACAAAGATCTAAAACTGAGATTAATTTCATAATTAATGAGATTGCACGCTGTCTTTCAAGGAGTTTTGTATAGGCAATATTTAAGAAAACTGAGGTTTTAATAAATGTCGACCGTGTCAATTAATGTACCGATTGATTTGTAAAAGCTTTATGGTGTTATTTTTAATTTAAATATTTTTTTCTATAAGTAAAAGCCATTTTGGTTTATTTTAGCTGCCCAAAAAGCCAGACAAAGTTTCGTCTACATAGGATAGTCCAATTTCAAATCTGCAAAGAGATTAGAGTTCTTTGGCTACTTTACCATGTTTCCTACTCAGAAATCTGTTTCCTGCATAGCCTAGTAAAGTTGCCAAGGAACTCTTATGTCATTACAGGATTGAAATCGGACCACATTAAGTAAACGAAATTTTGACAGTCTTATTGTTTCAAAACGTCAAAAATAAATTGACAACATTCAATGCCCTTAAAAAAAACTATAAGCTCTATTTACTACTATCGAATAAATTTGTAATTACTTTCGTCTGAATCTTTAGGCACAGGTGTTTTAGCTGTAACAAATAAAGAATGTAAAATAATCATTAGGTTAGTTAAAGACGATTTTTATATTTTATCCCAAACATCTAAAACTGAGATTAATTTGACCAAATAATTAATGAATTCAAAACATTGTATTAGCATAAAAATAAACTTTCAATCAACATTCGAATAAATGATTTGAATTATACTTTCATCATTAAAAACTTTGATTTTCAGCTTAAATCGGATATTCTAGTTTTTCTGAGCAACTTAATAATTATCAATTTTCAAAATTATTCGCTTGCAAAATTTAATATTTACCTATTTTTTTGCTTATTTTTTCTTGTATAGATTTATCTCGTTTTATGGATGCTAAAATTTACAATAAAATAACTTGATATCGTATATAATTTTTTTACACCTAATAGAAACCATTATTGTACATATGATTCTGTGTATCAGTGGCACAACCAGAATTCGGCCAAGGGGGGAGGGGGTCTCCGTCATGTCCTATTCAAGTTTTACTTGAAAAAAAAGTGATGGAATAGGGGTTTCTGGCGTTAGTTGTTGCGCCACTGCTGTGTAGAGCATTATAATATGTATAGCTGATTATTGACTACCATTTAGATTCTCTTCGCTGTCAGTGAGCGCATATTCTGGAATAAAAGCAAAAAAAAAATGTGTTTACTCAATGAATACCTATCAAACAACTGCGTATAAATATTTCCATAAAAAGTAATAACGATTATTACCCGGTACAGCGATCAAAATAATCAGGTCATCTGAAATGAACACAAAATAAATAAATTATATTGGATTTAATTTTCTATTCTATAGCAATACACTTTAAGAGAAATATTAAAGTAGTAAGTATAAGGGTATTAGTAATCCGGAAGTTAGTGCTTGGCTAGATTAATTTAATAGAGCTGAAACTTTATTATAACGTATAAAAATAAATATAACGGCTGAATTCAAACAGATGTAGCGAGTAGAATAAGATTTATGACTTAAGAACTAAGATTTACACCACCGATATATTTGCATAAATACGAACTTTGTTGTTGTTTTAATAAAATAATCAAATATTCTAAACCTTATTTATTATTATTATTATTATTATGTATGCGTATTACTGTTCACTGAAAACATGTTGTCTTTAACGATTTGTTCAATTACACACTCCAATCCATCTAGAATAAACAAATAAAGATTCGAGTTATAAAACAAGTTTAAAAAAATAATCATAATACAATAATTACACCACGCTTTAAGCGACTTCCGGTGTTAAAATTATATATTATATACCTATTAGTATATTGATTTCTTATATGTATCTTACTTTTTCCTAAAGCATCCTTATAGTTAGAAGCTATGTGGATGTGTTTGTCTATAGTAAATCATTTAAAAAAATAAGTATAATATCAGTGTGTATAAAGTTAGTCTAATAGTGATAAAAAATATTACTGACTTGTAATGGACACCGTACTTGTATACGAGGAGTCAGCTGTAAAGAAACGTGAAATATTACTTTTATTTTTAATAAGTATATCGAGTAGGTAAGTATGAAAAATTAAATAATTACAACTTTCTGCCAAAACGTTTAAGAAGAAAAATGGTAATAACACACAGAAGAGCTTCATTTTACCTGCAAATAATAATTAACATAAAAGCAATTCATACTGGTCGCAGTCTTTTGCGTGTCGTACAGTGCATTTTTTAAACTATTAAACTAGGTGACACGAATGTCGCCCAGTGAAAATAATTTGTCGCCTAGTTGATTATATTGTTAAAGACTGGGCAACACACAACTTTCAAGAGAAGAATTTTTTAATTATGTAGAAAACCAATTAGGTAATGGATGATGGATAAATGGCTACATATTGTCTTATATTATCGATACCTATTCGATATTAAATACAAAATGCATTTATTATTGTAGAATATGAGAAAATAAGTTATAATAATACTATTGTTATACATTTATGACGATAACCGTTAAGGATGGTCAAAAGGCAATGGTACCGTTATGTGATAATAATAGTAGAATGTATATTGCTCTAAACAGTACTGGAACAGCAAATTTTGATCCCAGACCAGCAGTGGCTGAGTTTTTAATATGGAAAGAACGACGTTACAGACCAAGAAACTTACAAAAATCATTCATTCATCAAAAAGTTTTTTGAAAAATAAATCTTAAAAAAAATCTTCTGTTAAATAAATTATCTCTTTTATTTATTTATTTTTACTATTTACTACTAGCATTACGATTTATTTTTAATAATAATTATGAGGGGCGAGTCTGAAATACTTCTCATTAAGGGTGAAACTAAAGGGGGGTAGCCTACTCCCTTATAGTCAGCCAAATCAAAAGAAAAAAGTTTTTCAGCCGAGTCTGCAACCACGAAAGAGCATTTTCATGTCTCGTTGAAGTACCGAATAAATTTAGAGTAGTGGTGGAATTATAGATAATGAAATGGTATATTAACAAGCTAGTATCTAAGGTGGCTAGTAAACATATCAAGTTTCTGACTTATAAGTGATTTTATAATATCTGGCCTTAAAAAATTCATAGGAAATATGACCTGTTAAATTACATTAAATTTATTTTTCAGTTATAATTTGATCGTTGTGAATACAACATATCTCTCACCCCAATCTATCAACCCTATCTTTCACCCCCTATCACTCACCCTCTGTCTCCTACCCCTCTCTCCACCCCTAACTCCTACGCTATCTCCCCCCCAACCCCATCTCCGTGTGGTAACGATTTTTTGGTAACGCTTTTTTAATAACGCTGAGTAAATAACGCTTTTTTCGGTTAAGTGCCAAAGCTAAGACATGAAAATGTCAAAAAAAAATTATGTACAATCAAGTTTCTGGCTAATATTTTAGTGTTTTCATAAAATCTGGCTTGAACAATTCGACCTCTTAAATTACATTGAATTTATTATTTAGTTCTAATATGAACGTTGAACGTACGACATCTCTTATCTCATATCAGATAACAGCGTAACAGATTAACATTCGAAATGGATCCGAAATGGTCTTTCCGATAATTGTCTTTGAATTGACGAATGATTTTTGGTACCTTGCGGCGCTTAACAGCGTAACGCTTTTTTTGGTAACACTTTTTTTCGGTTATGTACCGGCTAATTCTCACCCGAAAATAGCGTTACCAAAAAGGCGTAACGAAAAAAGGGTTACCATAAAAGCGTTACCACACGGAGATGAGGTTAGGGGTGGAAATAGGGGGTAGGAGACAGAGGGTGAGAATTAGCCGGTACATAACCGAAAAAAAGCGTTACCACACGGAGATGGGGTTGAGGGTGGGAGATAGCGTAGGAGTTAGGGGTGGGAGATAGGGGTAGGAGACAGAGGGTGAGTGATAGGGGGTGAAAGATAGGGTTGATAGATTGGGGTGAGAGATATGTTGTATTCACAACGATCAAATTATAACTGAAAAATAAATTTAATGTAATTTAACAGGTCATATTTCCTATGAATTTTTTAAGGCCAGATATTATAAAATCACTTATAAGTCAGAAACTTGATATGTTTACTAGCCACCTTAGATACTAGCTTGTTAATATACCATTTCATTATCTATAATTCCACCACTACTCTAAATTTATTCGGTACTTCAACGAGACATGAAAATGCTCTTTCGTGGTTGCAGACTCGGCTGAAAAACGTTTTTCCATGAGTGGAGACGGACAGGACAGGCGGTTAAAAACAGGCGACGACTTTTTTTTTTGCAAATCGTTACGATATAGTACCTTAGTTATCCCCCCCCCCCTATCCCCCCAAACATTTTTTTGTCGCCCAGTAAAAATTCTTTAAAAAATGTACTGGTGTCGTACACGACTAAAGTCTAAAAAATATACACTTAAAGAAGTAAAAACACCTGCTATGTCCACATTACAATAACATGTTGTTCAGAAATCGTAAACAATATTTCGAGCAGCTAGTGCCTATGTATCGTAAAAAAAAAAAGAATAACAAACAAAAGAGGACTCAGTATTTTATTTTAAAACGTATACACCTTCTAAACCAAGCGATAATAAAACAACAAGGGGTTTTATGATTCACACCTAAAATATAAAAAAAGTCAGTACAGTGGAATCGGGGCATAATAGGGACGGAGAGGTCTTTAAGAATTACTATTACTGAAAGTGACTACCTAACTTACCTAACTTTAATACTATCTTACTGTGCTTGTTTATACTGTACTGCTTTGAACATCGAAATTTTCATTTTAAAGTGATTTTATTACTCTTTTTACTGACTCTGTTTTTAATGGGTAACTGCAAATTGAGGGGGTTAAAACCATGGCGGTGTAAGTCACACCGTTTTGTAAAGTTAGGCATTTTTTAAAAAGTCAACGTGTCGAAGGGCAAAGTGAAGTATATACTTATGTTTTGCCCCCACTTAATTCCAAATGATTTGCGCCACTGTTCAGTACAAGAACATAACTATTTTAAAACATATTATGCACATTGAAAAAAAAAAATAATAACTAGCCATAAAACAATTTTAAATACTATTCAAAGATCGTACCCAATAGGTTTTAGTTCTTTAACAGGGCCGAGTATAGACTAATATAATAGCTCGAATTAAAAACGTATCTATTCAAGGGTTTTGTTGAGATTTGTCCGTACCTATTTGATTAAAAGCATACTTACAGATTTTTAGCACAGTGATTGACTCGACCGACTTTTGAAACGCAACGTTTTGTAGTGACATTCATGTGTCTTGGTCTGTGGCCTTAAATTTTCAGCGACAACAACAATATAGACATATATTGTGCAGAGTACCGTTGTTGTTTATTTACAAAGGTGGATTATTTTTGCAATACGGTTACATAGGTATCTAGTATATACATTGCAAAACAAAATTGAATTTTACAACGGCCAAAATTTATAAGAAACCCGTTTGAGTTTTTGAAATGGACAAAATCTAATACATTTATAGCTATTAACAAAAATGTTGAATATTCTCATATTCAACATCAATTTAAAGATGATATATTATTTATGTTCATATTACAATTTACAAAATATTATAAATGTTCTATCCCAAAGCGATTAAGAGTTTCATCTGCAATATGCAATCAAGGTTTTACTAAAATATTATTTTTAACAGTTAAAAATAACGTTAAACACTGATTTGATTTTCTATGTTGGCTAACTTTCTGGTTGTATGCATGCAGCGTTCTGGTTGTTCTGGCAATTTTTCTTTAATCCAAATTGGTCTACTGTTATGTTATAACTTATTTTTCCATTCTTTTGAAGAGTATTTTTTTTTAAAGGCATGTGATATGATGGACTAGTCTTTTTGTATCCTCCAGCGATTTCCTTAAGGGTTTAACAATATTCAGACCTATAGCTTATTAAACTTAAATAATTGATTCGATACGATGGTATGGCGTTGGTTAGGTTCACATAAGTGTATAAAATTCGAATTTCAAGCACTCTCAGCATAAAATGTAGTATTCGGGCTTCCGTGATTATTATTCCATCTAAAGATGGGATATAATATATAACCCCTTAAAAAAATTATTTTTTTTAATTTTTTTTGAAATTTTGAATCTTATTTCGATCTTTTAGTTGGAGTTTTAGGGTTAATGGTCTGAACATTAGACCACAGGTATATCTAGAACGGGGCTAAACATACATACACAATTTTAACTTATTTTTTTGAAACTTTTAAATCAGCCAAATTACTGGCAAATGCTCTTGGATCTGAAGATTCATTTCCATAAATAAATCTACATAGAATTAAACGTACAAGTACACAAATCAAATATGAGTCTCGCGATGATCATAAACTTTACAGACCTAACTTTTTAAATACAGTTTTAAATGGAGCTATAGAATCGATAAACGAACGATTTGAATACCTTTCTGAGTGTGCAAACTTGTTATATCTTTAAAACATTTATAATTATAAAGATCTCACTTTCACATACATCCAAAGATGTTTTAATTTCTGACATTAATTCTGTGGGATTACACGATGAAATAATAGCTTTACAGAGTATACTCAGTGCTATAGAAACAAACCCACGCAATTTGTTTTAGAATATATATGCTCGTTAGATCGTTTAGTGGGTCTTGCAATAAATACAACCGAGAAGGAATTAATAGATATTATTTAGACCTGGATGAAGTTGTATCTGATTTTGCATCTACAAAAGTTAATTTTTAATATTGTGTTTTTTTATCGTTTTGTTTTTATTACAACTATTTTAAAATTGTGTTTTGACGCATACACAGTACCTAGTGAGGTATACTAGAGTCTATACATGTATTTATAGATACTAAATATCTAACCCCTTGTAGACTATTTATAAATAGTTATAATGTATTTTGTACACAGAATTCGTTTATTTTGGTTTTTTGAGTAAACGAATATTAGATATGAAGCATATTTCGTTTATAAGCAAGTTAGGGGCGGCAAAACTTGAGTTTGTCTGGGCATGTTTAAACGCTTGAGCCGGGCCTGACTATAAATAGTCATTAAAACAAATTGTTATTTTTTATTTTACTTACACAGTTATAATGCACGATTTACAATGATTTTTAATCTGATTTTGTTTTGTTTTTGGTTCACACCTGCGATGATAATAATAGTTTATTCGAACAAACTGTGTATTTGATTAACGATTTACACGAGTTGTCTACCTTTTGAAATCTCGTGCACCATTCAAAACTAGATTTTTTGCATCACCCAGTGGCCCAAGTACTAGGTTGATATATTTTCATCTTCGTTTTCCAACATGAACACAAAAATCAGTGTGTGTGTTTAACGTTTATTAAAATAATAATAATATAATTTTTAATAATACAGTTAAAATTAAATTTGTGATAATACATTTGAAAAGATAAGTCTATTTATTTGTTTATTCATAAACGCCCGAAAGCTTAAAGTATTAATAAAAATTATAACTTAATTACAGATATTTATATAATTTTATATATTACAATTGTAATATAGGTAGTTTTAATTAGTCTGAATGAACTGATAAGGTCTTACAATAAAACAATCTCAAATAGAGAAACAAAAAATTAAAGATATTGAACAAACAGTTTTGGAATACTGGTGAGAAGTAACGAAATAATATTTGAAATATTAATGATTATTAACATTGATTCGATGAATTACAAGAATAATAATATAGTATAAGCAAATGAAAACACATCGAAATAATATTACACGCACCGATTTACTACACTAAAGGCCAACAGTCTCGCACAAATAGATGAAGCATTATAACGTTTAATACCTAAGTCTAATAACTAATAACAAAAATTGCGTTTACCTAGTCTCCACCGGTGACGGCTGGGAATAAACAACATTATAAACCACTACCTAATAAAATCAAATTGAACTAAGCATTTAACAGGCATACTACACCGGAAAGAATTTTGTAAATTTCAAGTAAGGAATAGATATTTATTAAAAAAAACAATCATATTTAAAACTCAAAAATATGTTATGTTTCCGCTAGTAAAATAAAAAAAATCAAATATAAAGTTCAATTTTTATACTTTAGCACTTGGAACGTTTGACAAATTAACTCTTCATTTATACTATAATTTATTTTTCTATATAATTACAATTTATAAATTAAAGAGTATTACTCACAATATATTTCAATTATGATTTCGTATTCTATTTTTTTTTTTTTTATAACAAAGCTAAATTCCGCAATAATGTCGGCGGTGACCACCATAATTTTCGGGATAACAACAGATAATCTAAGCTTATCTAATTACCTATATTATTTGTAAATATTGTAGAAATATGACTTTACTTGGGAAATACTGTATTTTTGTTGTACAGAGAAGCCACATTTTTATTTTTCCTATTGTGTTGTGTGTTTTAAAGATAAAAATTATAATACAAAATTTACATATGTACACATTGTTTTTTTATGAAATAGTATTAGATTTATATAATAATATATAAATGATATATATAATTATTATTTAATGAAATAAATCATAGAATATTATATATGACCCGTCCAGCACTTAAAGTTTATAACGGATACTCGTACCATTATACAATTATTATTCTATTGATGAATTTTTATAAACATGTTTTCAATTATTAATTTTGGATTTATAAATGAATTATCAGAAAGCTGAAATGTTTTACATAAAATACTGATTTTTAATGATTTTGTTTGGTGACCTATAATACTATAAAAAAAAAACAGTAAAAGAGAAAATAAACTAAAATATTCATTACGACCATGGACAATATAGGCTAAGCAAATTTGGAAACACGTATTTTATTGTATTAGACATGCAAAATAAGTATGCTCCAATATAAATGTTAATAAGTAAGTACGCTATACGAGGTACCAAGTTTATTCTGATATCTGAGAAAATTATTTATACGCTAAAAATAAGTAATTAAGTTATCAGAATGATTCAAACTATGATGGGTATTGTATTTTCTACTCTGTCCATTGTTATATAAATGTTAATGAACAGTAGCTATAAAAAAGATTTACTCGAGATTGTAACACGCGCGCGAGCTCGTGAAGTAGCGAATGTTTACCGCGACGAATCATACGTTTCCAGCATAATATTAGTTTTTACTAGATCGGCAGTCGGTGATAGAATAATGTGCCGCTCTGATAATACTACAACGCGCCGCCGCAGCACTCGTATGGGCGTGACTATAAACCGCCGCCGCCGCGCCGAGACGGAGAATAACGCCATCTCTCGGGAGTTGTATACGTAACACTTTACCTGCGACGTCCTCTTAAACTTTTTAGACAAAGCGTAACTGACTATATGCAAATTTAAAAGTGAAAACGGTCAACAGATAACTCCGTTGGCATGTAAGCAAAAACCAAGACGTCGCATGGCAACGTGAAATCAGTGTGACCACGGATAGAGTATAAAATTATGTATCTGTTCTGTGATAACATTATCTATCTTTAATCCTGATTTGACGATACCGCGACCACGGTCATATAATATAAGACCGAGACTCTGGCCAGTCTTATCAATTAATCCGAAACGTTATCAAGCAACACAACAACACTAGATATCAGAACAATAATAAGAAAACCATTTTCATGAGTTAGGTATATTCCCTTGTGCCATTCATATTTCATGTGGCAGATAAAAATATTAAATTTAACATCATGTTATATTATATAAGAACCACGGATTAACTAAACGTCAAAACTGTGTATTTTATTCGTTTAACACGTGGGTAGGTTATACGTCAACATATTACACTGTCCACCTTTATAAAAATTGTTTTATAGCTTGCAATAAACTACAATATAATAACGAAACGAACAAAATCCACACGAACGCGATTAATCAAATCGACAAAATAATGTCGAACGACGTAGCACCTCCAACTACGTCACCGTCGCCAAAGGAATCGTCTGTAGACTTGGAATACGTTGACCTCGACTATGTAACGTGAGTACTACAGAGTACCTAATTTCTAATTAGATGATCCAAACAGACAATACCAATGATAATGAAGCCAGTTAGTAATGACAGACAGTACAGTATAGTTGGGGCATAGTGGGAACGGAGCATAATAAGGTTGTTGTGTCACTTTGTCAACAAAGTTATTATAACTGAACTATGGAATTATTTTGAATGAATAAAGAGCTTGGATGCAAATCTGTAGACAATTGTAGGAATGTTAAATATTGATAAAAGCTTTGTAAAGACAAAAATGTGTTTAAAATTTATATATTTTGTAGTATTACGGCCGATACGATTAAGTATGATTGTCTGTCTTTACTAATAATTTGTTACCAACATATATCAATAAAACATTATTCAATAAAACTCTTATCCTGAATTTGTATTAAATTGAATTGAAAACTAGGTATAATTAATAGTAAACACTTTGTTTGTCATTTCAGCTTGGCTGTCTACAGTTTTCTATCGTTTATTTATGGAAATTACCGAATCCAATTTCGACATCAACAAAGGACTAAACCAAGAATATGCCGCACAAGTAGTTTGTGTTCAAACCCAATACATAGATCGGTCAGTAGTTGCGTTTGAACTGTTGTGAAATTTATGCTTATAAAACACCAATATTTAAGTTTCAGATTTTTTGAGAACACAACGACCAAGTTGTAAGTGACGACGTTGACCGAATTTGTGTGCTGTTTAAAACATACAAAAATTCCAAGTACTCCTCGACATGTACACTTCGCTTCATGAGCTGCCTGGTATACTCATTTTTTAAATTTCATTAAGCGGTCTGTATTTGACGTTTAGACCAAACAAAATGCTTTTATAGCCTAACAAAATGTCGACTATTCCTGATGGTCCAATTTGAATTCTGTAAAGAGATGTGGGTTTTATGATTACTTTTCTAAGTTAGTTGTTATGCAAGTATGTTTATTTTTGATTTTTTTGTTTATTTAATGTAAAAAAATTGTTTTTTTTTTAATATTGAACACTATTCAAAATTGAATTGATTTAAATACAAATAACTGAACTTTCTAAATGATAATCGGTTTCCTACATAACTTTGTTAAGTAGTCAAAGAACTCGAATCTCTTTACAAAAGTTAAATTTGGTCATTCTAAGTAGACGCAAATTTGTCAAGCTTTTAGGTCTAAAATAAACCAAAAATGGCTTTACTCATAGAAAAAATAATATAAATTGACTTCGTTTGAAACCAATTTTTCTTAAATATTCCCTTTAAAAACTTCTTAAAAACCGCCCACTTCCAATCCGCTTAATAAAAATAATTGTATTTAAATAATAATTTGTTGTTAATTCCAGATTTTACGTTTGGTTGTTTTTGTGTCGATCAATTACTTTTGCCTACTATTCAAACGTAATTTGTGTGATATTTATCAATGCAAAAATTCATTGATAAGGAACAAATTTACCGTGTAGACCATTTACCGATAGTTTTTATGGCTACCAGACAAGATGACATAATTAAAGCATCTGTGGCAACAAGTATGTGTTTCTGCTCTTCTTAGCTGTAGCTTCGGATTTAGTATTTCTTAATTTCATTTTAACCCGTTTCAGGTGTTTCTGTCACTATAATCTGTTTGACGAAAGACAAAGGCGATGTTATTTAAGCGCTAGCTAGTTTAAATATTTAGTTGACCTAAACGAAGACAACATACCACCAGAAGTCGAAGAACAAAGGCAGACTAGTAGAATGAAGTAAGTTGCCAGTGTTTTCTTTTTTTAACGACGTGAAACAAATTATTTCATTTGAAGCGTTCGAAATGAGTGTCTTCGTTCTTTGTCTAATAATAACTAATGTATGCAAATTGTGTCATTTTGTTATGTGTAAATTGAACCAAAAATGTTATTGACAATATCGCAAAGAATCTACACGTAGTTTTGGTAATTGCATTTGTTTTTTATTTCTTTTAGGAAAGCAAATTTTGGTGATTTAGTGGCGCAATTGGATGATGTACTGTTCAAAGTATTACTGTCAATTAGAATATTAACAGCATCGGCCACAAGAAATACTTTGAAATTCACCTAACCTGAATTTTACCACCAAGTGGCCATGATTTACGTATTTTGACAATAAGTAGCTTTATCTGTTGTGTGCTTAAATGACTTAGACTAGTCTGATTAAAGTTTGAATAATTTATTACAATAATAGTAAGGTATTAAAATAAGTTACACGTTAAAGACTACAATAATTTATTTTAATGTTTTGCCATCTAATAAGATACAGAATTGTATTCTTCCATAATTCGCTATACTTGTGTTGTAACACTAATTATCACTTGTGTCCAGGTAACGTTCAATAAACTGTTATTATTTTATTGCTATTTAAAACTAAACAACATATTTTATTTTGATATATATTTTTGCCATCATATTAAACACTTTTTGGTTTAAACACATTGTTATTTTTTCAAACTAATTGTGAATTGTGACAAAAATACACATTGATTTTAATTCTATTTTATGATCTTTTCCCGCTTTGGTATTACGTACGTTATTAAAAACAATTTTTATCACAGCTTCATTTATTGTGACCGATTTGAGTAAAAATTATCAAAATAGAGACAAAGGTGTTCCAATCAAAACAGAATAGTGTTTTGTTTAGTCACAAAATAAGTACAGAACAATTTACCGTGTTTTGTAACAAGCCATGTTATGTAATAGTCTGTACTGTTGGATCAATTACAAAACTAATGGTAAATTACTTTTTGGTAATTCAAGAGAGTTAGTAACTAGCATAGAATATAAAACAAAAATACTAACTTCTCTTCACGTTAGCCTAAAAGTCCGTTGGGATTATTACAGTCATCTTGATAACAAGACATAAGATCGTCTGTTCGTACAAATCAACTACCGATAAAAGCCTTCTTTTTTTTACAATACTAGTAAAACATATAGCATTGGTAAAACATAATACCCTGGAAATTAAACTCTAAATAATATCCTTACTGTAGACCTTTAACTAAACTATCCACTCTACCTAAACTATTAGAACAATAAATAAATAAAGCCTTCTCTAACATTTTCTTTTAATTAACTGGTGTAAATACTAACCAATAAAGATTTAGAAACGGTTGAATATGTGTGTGAAAGAAACTTACTTTGTTTCTATGTTAAATTAATAAATTCTATGGAAGCCGGCAAACCAACTGACGTCATTTAGGTACACTGAATTCAACAAGGCGATTGATTCAGCTAACCACTTTATTATTTTAGGCAAATTACACTTATATGGTACATCAAATTTTTTTATTGTCTTTGGTTAGGTTCTTGTTTAACTGATGGATTTCAACAAGTGAAAGTTAATGGTTTTTTTGTCCGATCCTTTTCCTTTTCTTTCGGATGTTTCACAAGGAGGACACTTATCTTCTTTATTTTTGGCATTTTTGCTTTTGATTTAAGCGCTTGTTTTAGATTTTCTAATCATCAACTTTTTGCTGACCCCTCAAGCTCTATACTAATGTTCCATCAACTGATGACTGTTTAATATATAATAATGGGCCCCAACCCCACTGTACTGGCTTCTCTAAAGTATATTTGCGATACTTAATTTGTTTAAATATTAAACTTATAAGATAGCTGGTTATATACTAAATTGTACTTGGATATAGTTCTACAATGATTGATTAATTAAAATATGTTTACACATATATTTATAAATCAAAGTATCAAATACAAAATATATATCTATATAGTATATAAATGTTATTTATATTATATAAATACACTAAAACTAACTTTGTATTAACATTTTTTTTTTTTTGTTTCTTATGAGTACCCATCTATTATTAAATTTTTGGTAATATTATTGAATTGGAGCAAAATATTTGATTGAAAATTATATTTTTCTATTACTGCACTGAATATATCAAAATTATAATAATTGAATAGTATACATTTTAATGTTCTGACTACATTACACTAAGCTTTAAAAGAGAAAATAAAAAATAATGTAATTTATCCCTAAAAACTCTTTAAGTAGGTACCAACGATTTATTAACTATGAATATATATATATATATATATATATATATATATATATATATATATATATATATATTAGACAAAAAACATTGATTATTATAATAATATCTAGATTTTTATTTTGTAGAATGATGTTATTTGATTTTTTTTTTTAACCGAAAACTTGTGAATTTTTTTTAACTCAACTACCAAAAATTACACAAGTCTTGGGTGAATTGCATAAAATAAAAGTAATTGTATGTTTATATTTGGGCAATAAAAATAAATAACTTGTTAGTTGTTATTAAGTATTGAGGTTTGTGGACGCAGACAAAACAATAAGTACAGCGTACAAACAATACAGCTTGTATTACAGTAATAATGATAAATGATATTTCGCTAAGACTAAACCATCAAGTATTAATTACAACACTTGTAAAAAAAAACAATTTTTATAATATAATAATAATATATAAAGTATAACAACTTAAAATGTTATTTGTTTAATTCTGTCACAGTAAGTAAAAATATTAATATTTTTAGCAGTTAACAAATGTACAGATGCACTGTACAAATATTTAAAAAACACAATCATCATAAGCATTTATAATCCTATTAAAACTTGGATCATTTTTTTTTTATACAAAAAATATTCTGGCGTTTAGTATAAGCTTTTGCTTTTCACATTTTTTATAACACATTTTATTTAAATAACTTCACAATACTCCCATTCACAATACTCTAAACGGGGAGAGCAAAGCAATTATTTTCTTCTAAAGAGGCAACTAATTTCTAATCTTTAAATGATCATGCTCTAATACGCAAAATAATTATTTTCCAACAAATTATCTGGTTCATAAATTGTCCAAATTATTCATCACCGTGTAGAGCTACATAAAGCCAATAAATGTGTGAAAGCCCACAAAAATTCTCTCTACAAATTGATGTAACAAAAAAGTATCAAAATACTATGTTCAATTACAATTGCATATGATTTCTTTTGAGGGGTAATGAATTCAAATTAGAAAACATTTTATTCCTGAAAGATATATTATAGGTAGCAATAAAATGTTTAATTTTCATTTTGAAAACAATCTCGCTAAATACTGAAATATGTTTAATAAAAATAACAAATTTATGTAAAACAGCCACTCTTAATAGTAATACACATTTAACCCTTTCAGACCCGCGTGCCATTATAATGGCACAACAAAATAAAAGCAGTTATAAAATTCAATTCAAATAATATCTTTGTGTAATACATATATATACACGTAAAAACATGTGTAGAATACTTTAAAATTGATAAGAATGCAATATGGACGAAATATGAAAAGATAATGAAAGGTTATCAAAAAAAAAAAAGTTGGCTAAAAAATATTTTTTTTTTTTCACATTATCTTCAATTTTCAACAAAAAAATAAACACTAAAAATCCCATACTTTTTTTTTTTGCTTCTCAATTTATATTGTATGCATATTATGATTTAATATCGAGATTATCTTTTACCGTTATCATTTTATTGTACCTCCAATAGTATGTCATTACAATGGCAATTGGGCGTCAAGTGTTGCTAATCAACTAATTTTACTTTGGTAAACGATTTTTGTTATCAAACAACAGAGATAATAAAAACCGCATTTTTCCGGATGTTCCTAAACTCCCAAACAAAAACCGCAAAATAGATTCAAAAAATACCTCATTAGAAATTATTAAAGATAAAATTAATCACTTTGCTTTTATTGATAATCGAAAAGATGCAACATTATGCAAACATGAAGGGTGTAAAATGAGAACACATATTATGTGTAAAAAATATAACCTCCATTTATGTTTGACTAAAGATAGAAATTGTTTTTATGATTTTCACTGTTAGTCACCAAATCAGGAATATTTTATTCTTTCTGTTAAAGTTTTTATCCAAAGGACATTTTACTCTATATATTGTTTTTTTTTATAAATGTAATGTTAATTTTGTTTGTATACCTAAAGAATATATGTATATGATAAATAAAATTGTTTTACAGCTAGGTATATTGTTAATTTTATTTGTTACAAATAGTTTTAAGTGTAAGTCAAGTCGCGCATGTAGTGTCGACAATGAAACATCGTAATATACGATTACATTGCGTTTTCTCAAGTATAAAATTAAGTTCTATACTATTTTTTTTATTTCAAAAACGCGTCCTGGTATCAAAAAGTACCAGTTATCCATTGAGCTATTCACCATATCTCTCTGAGGATCCAGAGCTACTCCATCTGCATTTTGGTAATAATTGTAATACCGATAAATCAAAAACTGTCTCACCACTAATAATACAAAAGTCACGCATACAGAGCGTGCCAAATCAACCATTAATCTCTCCAGCTAATTTTTCCCCCAATGACGGCTTTACCACACCAAAAAGTTCTAAACGACTCCCTTCTCCAGCCCACTCACCAAATAATACACAACACAAAAAACATACAACGTACGTTTCACAAAATCGTTTCTCACTTTTTGCCGCAAACGATACCGAGGAACCTGTACTTCAAGCCGACAATATGGATATTGTTGCAGAGCACACTGAGTCTCCCATCATTGAAACCAAACCTCCTCCTCCAATTTGTATCCGTGTTGTCAATGACTTCAATTCATTTTGCTCAGAAATTAAAGAAGTCACCAAAGGTGAACAGTTCTCTTGTAAAAGCACAACCAATGGTTTGAAACTTTCTACCAGCTCAGCTGATTCCTACCGTTCGGTTATTAAATTTCTTCTATCAAATAAAGCCGATTTCCATACTTACCAGCTAGAAAAAGATAGACCGTTCAGAGTGGTAATCAGAAACCTCCATCACACAACATCACCCGAAGAAATTAAAAAAGAATCATTGTCCCTTGGTCATACTCCAGGAAACATAACAAATGTTATTCAACGGTCTACAAAGCTTCCACTTCCACTTTTCTTTGTCGATTTGGAGCCTGCCCTCAATAATAAAGATATCTTTAAAATTGAGTTTTTACACTACACAAAAATAAAAATCGAAGAGCCACGCTTAAACCATCAAACAATTCAATGTCTTCGCTGCCAAGGTTTTGGTCATACCAAATCCTATTGTAATCACCCTCCTAAATGTGTTCGTTGCGGAGACAACCATCTTTCATCGACCTGCCAAAAATCTTCAAGCCTCCCTGCCAAATGTGCCCTTTGTGGAGGTGATCATCCTGCAAACTACAGAGGTTGTCCAATCCATAAAGAACACCAATCCAATCAACACCTCAAAAAATACTACCAAGGTCGTATTAACAATGTCCACCCAAATAATAATGTAAAGCCCAACACTGTAAGCACTACTTCAAATCAAATTATCCCCCTCTCTAAATCATATTCTCATGCCGTTGATAAAAATTCCAACAGCCAATTTAATCAAACTAATATTCCTTTCGCCGTTGACTCAGACCCATTGACATTAAAACTCTCCTCCTTTCTCGACGATTTTAAATCCCTAATTAATCCCTTAATTTCCCTCCTAACAACCGTCATCAATACGGTTCTTATTTCCAACAATGATAAATAGTAACACTAATAATCATCAGCCAATAAAAATCCTTCTTTGGAACTCTAATGGTCTTATAAATCAAAAAACCGAATTACAAGCTTTTCTTATAAATACTCCTATAGATGTCCTATTAGTAAGCGAAGCCCACTTGACATCAAATTCCTTCTTTAAAATTCCCGGTTATATAACTTACCATTGCGACCATCCTGATGGCACAGCTCACGCGGGCTCTGCGCTACTATGTAATAGAAGAAAAGCACGGGGAAGCGGCGGTGAATGGATATTTTAAATATATATGTAAAGTCTTTTAATCGGGGTGTGCATGTGTGTATATTTACTACAAGGGCTCACTTCCTGCCTCTAGACTTACTATTACACAGTGTTATAATATTGTATATAGTACATACCTTGTCGTGGAGTTACTCGAAGCTCTATGACCTTGTCGATATTCCTTGAGTATGTGATCTTGATATGTCGAGATGAACGTTGTTTTAACGCGAATGTTTTCATTCATAAAATATTTCAGACACTGGTGTTTTAACGTTATCTTACGACCATCTGTTTCTCGTTAAAGTGTAATTCAGTACACGGTCTACCAATGGTTTTATAATAATCAATGCGCTTGTCAGAAATAACAACGTCTACTGAGTTATTATAAGCCGATTACATTCCTTGCTGACCAAAAATAGTCACACGGGTGTAATAGGATTGTTCGACCGCTAGAATTAATGTCCTTTAACGATACTTTTAAGAGGGAAGTAATTAGGTATAGGTATATGTATATATAATGAACGAAAAAACAACAGTGTTTTTTCGTGTTTAATGAACTTATTGTTATGTAAATGTTACGCCTCTCATGAGTATGTACGCTATCTATTAGAGTATTTAAAGTTTATTGAAATTATTCAAAGAGGTTCTATATCACACTACGCGCGTTGTACATTGAATAATAATAACATGATAGTTATATAAAAATGTCACATATAGTATAAATTTGAATGTATAACATGTTATTACAAAATGATAGTTTAATAAATATAGTTAAAACTTAAACATATGATTTATGTTACTACAACTAATTAAATCAAATATTAAACATTCAACTCTTCCTCCCTACCAAAGCAATATCATCCAAGCCACGAATATTACCTTAATTCTAAATAACATTCCTACTACCATTTCCTCAGTTTACTGTCCACCCCCAAAGAGAAACCGTCCTAACATAAAAACATCTGATTTTGAACAGTACTTTCTTTCTCTAGGTAACAATTATATTGCTGGTGGTGACTTTAATTCTAAACACCACGCTTGGGGCTCTAGAATCGACAACACCAGAGGGCGCTCATTAATTAATTTTACAACAACAAAAAATCTAAAAATAATTGCCCCTCCCAATCCCACCTACTGGCCCACGCACATAAACAGACAACCTGACATTCTTGAATTTTTTATAACTACTCTTCCAAATCACATTTCTTACAATATAACTAATTCTTCAGACCTCTCTTCCGATCACACACCTGTCTTATTAACTTTAAATGATCTCTCCTACACAACTAAATCTTACCCTACAATTACGCCTGGTAAAACCATATGGCCAAAATTCCACAGTATTATTGAAAATCAAATTCTCCTTAACATTCCTTTAAAAACTCCCTCACACATTGACTCTGCAGTCCTATCTCTTACTTCCATTATTCAAAAAGCAGTACTCGACTCTTCCATTCCTATAATTCTACTCAAAACTCTAGTTATCACCTACCCCATCATATTTCTCAACTAATAATTGAAAAAAGACGAGCCCGCTCTAGATGGCAGAGGTCACACTTGCCCAGTGATAAAAGAAACTACAATATGCTTACATCTTCCTTAAAAAATATTCTGCGCAAACACAATTCAGAAAAATATCAACATTATATAAACTCACTCAACTTATCCAATAATTCATTATGGAAAGCTACTAAAAATATCCTTAAACAAAAAAATAAAATCCCTCCTTTACGCCATCCTGACCACTCCTTAGCCACATCTAATCTAGATAAGGCAAACTTATTTGCAACCGATCTAGAAATGAGATTCACTCCTCATCCTGACATGCCTGACAATGATCACGTTAGTCACGTAGAATCCACTCTTTCCCAAATTCTCCCTATGTCATTACCAACCAAACATACCTCTCCATCCGAAGTCCATTATATCATTAAGAATCTTCCCAACAACAAAGCCCCCGGCCATGATCTAATAACAAATCAAATCATTAAAAAATTACCAAAAAAAGCTATTATTCACCTCTCACACATCTTTAACTCTATCCTCCGTTTATCATACATCCCCTCTTCTTGGAAACACTCGGTCATTATTCTAATTCATAAGCCTGGGAAACCCTCGCATCTCCCTTCGTCGTATAGACCAATTAGCCTACTCCCCTCGTTCTCTAAAATCCTAGAAAAAGTCATAATCAAAAGAATCTATCCAATTATAACCGAAAAAAAAATTATTCCAGATACCCAATTTGGTTTTAGAAATAATCATTCAGCCCTTCACCAAGTACACAGAATTGTAGACAACATTGCCTCTTCTCTAGAAAAAAAACATTTTTGTTCAGCCGTATTCCTTGACGTAGCACAGGCGTTTGATCGCGTATGGCACAAAGGCCTGCTCTACAAAATTCGTTTCCTTCCCACTCCTCTATATCTTACCTTAAAATCTTTCCTCTCACACCGTACTTTCCAAGTGCGATGCGATGATGAGCTTTCAAATACTTTTCCTATAAAAGCTGGTGTTCCACAAGGTAGCATTCTCGCGCCTACCCTTTATAATCTATTTACCGCCGACATACCTCATTCAAACATCACTAACTTAGCCACTTTTGCAGATGACACCTGCATAACTTCTTCCGACCCAGATATTAATTCAGCCATTAATAAACTGCAAATACATCTTAACGAGCTAGAAACCTGGTTTAACCAGTGGAAAATTAAAGTAAATGAAAATAAATCATCACATATTACATTCACTTCAGGACTCAAAGTTAGTCCTCCATTAACTCTTAACAATAATATAATCCCAATAGAAAACTCTGTTAAATACTTAGGCATTCATCTTGACAAGCGATTAACCTGGGCTACTCACATCAAACTCTACCACTATAAATCACCCGAATCCACTGATATCCAATATTTCTTCTCTTACTCTTCCAAACAATCCTCCTCGTCGATTAAAACGAAATTGGTCTCGCGACCTTCTCAATAACTAAAAAAAAAAAAATCAACAAATTTTTTTAAGGAATTCAAAACAATTATAATTATGTAATTAAATCTAGTTGAAGTAGTGTTACTGGACACCCTCTTCTTTCACGTTGTCCTGTCATTGTATCATATTTTTTTTTCAAATTTATTATTGTAACTAATATTACAGATTGTAAATATATTTTTATTAATAAAAAAAAAAAAAAAAAAAATTTAAAAAAAGATTCTGAAAGCTGACAATTACTTTCCAACTCTGGATTGTAATCAAATTTGTATTGATACTTATATCTCCACTTATTCACCAAAGACCCTAAGAGAAAAAGAAAGAAATTACAACACCAAAGACATGGACACTGTTTAAGAAATGCGTTCAAGTGAGAAGTGTATAAAATGCTAAACGACATATTTAAAATAGCCATAATTTATTTGATTAAATTTACTATTTAAATTATATTAGTTTGAACTTATGAAAGGGGAGGGGTTAGTATTTTCAAACAAAATTCAAAAAACAGTTTTAAAATGTTAAAAATATAATCCCAACTGGATATAATATAATATTGTCCTGCCGGATGTTCGGATTCCGTAGGGGAAGTTAATTTAAGAAAATTATAACTCTTAATCATATTTGTACAGTTCAGGTAATTTTATTCAATAAACCCTAATTTTTTTTTTAATTGATCACCAATTAGATTAGGTAGTTTGCGTGACGGTAGAAATAAAATATCTATCTAGTATACATTATGGTACTAATGTGTTATAATATACAGTATTTGAAAATAATATACCCACATTATGCTTCCTGTGTTTACCGTCAACGTCATCTCAATGTTAATACACAACAGTCCAGTGTATATAATTATTTTGTGAAATATGTTTCGTCATTAAGTATAATTATACCGTGAGTAAAATATATGTACGGTTTAAGAGAAATAACCACCTGTCATCAATCCTCCGTTTGAATAGGCCGAATGCGCCTCGCCCGCTACAGCAAACAAACCTAACCATGACATAAGCACCACTGAAGGAGCACAAAATGTATACATGTATCCTAATAAACCTTAACCTAATGTTCTATTCTCTCCTGTTTTTTACTCTCATTGTGTAACTCTGATTTTAGTTTATTCTGTAATTATCTGATACATTCATACAGGTAATTTTTTTTTTAAGAATCTTCTCATCAGCATTTCGCAAGTTGTAACTCCCTGGCAAGTAAATGGTGGACACCTACTTACAATCAATATATAAAGCTACTTCAATTTATGTGTGTTCATATTTTAAAATACTCGGTTTGAAATATCAGCAGCAAGTTTTTTGAAAAGCAGTTATTTTGTGAGGTATGTTATTTTTTTATAATTCACGCTCCTAAAAGTTTCTCGAATTCTAGTTTATGATAATATGTAAACTGTACTGTTCTATATAGTTAAACATACCGGACCAAAAAAATACAATTTTCTCTCTACTTTTGGATTTGGTAATGCGAATGCCAAACGACTTTCATGTAGAAGTTTAGTACTAACTACAATATACACAAATTATTAATTAGCCAATGCCTGATGAATTATTTAAAATACATTTTTATTTAGCGTGTAAAATCATATTTTAGATAGAATTAGTTTTTATTTTATCGCATATATTATCATACATTTAACCATCTTAAGTAAGTTTTTTCGATATGGTTTTGATTACAACTATAAAAGAGCTAAGTAAAATAATTTTTTATGTATGTTGTTTATTTATAATTATTTTATTTTATAATTTGAATAATGCACTCAAGTTTTTTGTATACCTATTACATACCAATATTATTAGCACAATTTGTTTAACAATCATTAGCTAGCATAGTATTAATAATAAAGTCATGATTTTTACCTATATTTATTCTCCAATCATCCATAAAAATTTTTTACTTTACCATAAAATAACTCCCATATTTTCCATTAAACAAACCTAACTAAAACATAAAATAAAATTCAAGGCTTTAAATTGTAATATATGATTTATTTAGTTTAACTACAACTTGTTGGTGTACAAAGTCTAAAGTCTAACTAGCTCTAAAGGACTAAGAAAAGATAATATATTCTAATAGCAATTAATAATTTTACTATAAAAAATTGTTGTATTAGAATGTATATGTTCTCAAGTTTAAACATATTTTTAAAAACTAAATACATACAAAATCTACTACAATATATGAATCGCTATCGAAAAACGAGCTAAACACTATCAATAAGTTAAAATTAAAGTATTTTACACGGCACCATAAAAGTTAAGTCATATGCAAAGTATGTAAATTGGTTTGACAAACTAATTTTAAATATTTTAAATGCTACATCAAAAATACATGTATATATGTATACATAGGTTAATTTTATGGGTATGTATATATATAGGTTAATTTTGAAATTCAGTAAAAAAGTTTTCTGCTTCATTATCTGATTCGCCAATTGAATTTGGACGTTTCAACGTATCGATAATCGATTGCAATAATTTAATTCTCTTCCGTTGCTTTCTAATGGTTTGCTGAGCGTTTCTTAACCGTTTTCTTTTATCTAATAATTCATTAGTCATACTCGAAATACTTTTTTTAAAAATTATTTCATTAGGTGTATCGCCAGGCATAGGTATAGCTGAAAAAACAAATACTTCTTTCTTGGGCTTTGACCAAAAAAAAAACACAAATTTTAAAATTACATTTTAAACAAACAAAAGTAATTAATTAATTAATTAATTCGTAAAAATTACATCATTATCGGTTGCGTTGAACGATGTGGAAGTCCGAGACGAAGTGCTATTGAAAGAATGTCCAGTATTTAGTGAAGATACCACTTCAGAAGTACTTTCAGTTACTAGGGGATGCGAATAACTATTGTTCACTTGGAGTCTAGAATCATCTTCAGAGTCTGAATCTATAATTATGACCTGTATACCAAATCAAATTCTGATTAAACTATGCGCAATAAACTAAATACAAAAAAAAATTACTGTGTCAGATTCAGTAGTAATCGGTTGAGAAGAGTTAGACATTTCTTCGTGCTCGACTTTATCATCCGACTCTGAATCTTCAAGTGTCACCTGTATCAAAGAAACACGGTGTAAGGTACACGCAAAACAAAGCTAAAATTTAATAATAATAATTACTGTTTCGATACGAGGAGTAGCCGGATACACATTGGTAATGGTATTTTGGGGTTTGGCACGAGTATGTATATAATTTGGCTGTACAACAGACATCGCCTGTAATGATTTTAAAAAGACCAATTTAAGACTAACGTGAAGGTAGTGTATGCAAGGGTAAACAATACTTTATTGTTTTGAGAAGTATTGTAATCGCCAGATAGAGATAAATCTGTTGATTCTTCACTTGTGTATTTAATTATGGTCTGTAAAACATTATAACATATTAGGTATGTATTGATAATAATTCAAAACTGTATTTATCATACACGTTAGTCATTTTTTTAAATCTATAGGTCACTCTATGCCAAATCACCTGATGTGTGTGCGAGTAAATTTATTTAATGCCTCGATCCCATATCTTATGCAGTATGCAGATAGTTCCATAAAATCGAAAAATTAAAGAAATTGTTATCGTAAATTTGTTGTACACCTGAAGTTCAAGACTCTTCAAACTATACTCTTTTGATTCATAATTTATTTTAGACAATTTTTTTTTATAATATATATTATGTAACTTCAAAGTTTTGAGTTTTACTAAAAAGTGCTATTTTTAAAAGCCTATAACTTTTTAGGGCTTGAACTAAATTTGTACAGCACTTACTTATATGTATATAGAACATCTGGTAAAAGTTTGGTAATTGAGACTTATTTTTACTAGGAGCTGAAAGAACTTGAATTTTTTAAATTCCGTTGTGTAGTGCAATGAAATTTATTGCAATATTCTCATTCAGATTGAAGTCACATGGTGATAACTGGTAAAAATTATGTAACATATTACTTCATAGTGTAAGAACTTCCCGGCGAATTAGAAATCGTTAAGTCGATTTCTTCATATAGCAAGTCTAAAGATCAAAAGTCGTACTAAAGAAAATGTGTATTGTTCTTACTTATTACTTAAGTCAACAAATTAGACCGAGTACAGATCTAGTGCGGGAGTGTACCTAACATCTAAAATTATCTTAAATATTTAAAGTCAAACTTATTTTTTTATTAATAAAACATCAAAAAAAAAAAAGTGGGAAAATAATTATTTATTATTATGCATTGACTGTATTAAATTAAATTATTATTATGACAGTTATCACCATTATTCACCTAATGGTATAATTGTTGTAAAAATTACATGACTCTTTAATTTTAATAAGAATATTTCAAGAAATCTTGTGGTATGTTTTTTTTTAATTTTGATAGTTAATTTAATGAGGAATTGTGTAAACTTCTAAATTTCAAGAGTTAAAAATAATATGAGAATTTTACAAGAAATGTTTGGTATGGTTTTTTTTTGTTTTGATAATTATTTAACGAGTATCTAATTATGTAAACACCTAAAGTTTAGGGATTAAAAATAATCGCAAAAAAATGTTTCAAAAATGTTTACTGTCCTTACTCTACAAGATCTCAATAACACGGAGCTGACTTTTATGATACACCCCATCATATGATTATAATATAGTGAATAGTCAAGTAGGTATGTCAAATTAAATTTTAGCCAAAATGTAATAGGACATAAACCGTTATGACCGCCCAACGAAAAAATCTTATTGTTACCCATTGATATAATAAATGATTAAAAACTTACACTGTAATGTGGTATAGACATTGTAGGAACAGCGGCTTTGCATAAAAATCTTTGTCGACGATAGGAAAAAATGTATTCTTTATTAAAGTGTGCTGAACAAAGAGTGTCGGTTTTTGTCACTTTACTTGCATCCAACGAGTGTTCAATTACAAATTCCAACCACTTTTTGAAAATAAGCTTATTGGCGGGAAACCTTGAACATACATAAAATATAATTGTTTAATTTATCTAATATATAAAATGTCAATTCAAATAGCCGACGTCCCGCCAGTCGCCTAATCGCCTCTTCCATGGGATTCGTATAATATATCTCGCTCATAACACAAGCATCTGGGGGTCTATTCTTGAAACCATTCGAAAATTATTCGTATACGACCGATTCGTATGCGAATGTCAAGAATACCATTTAAAGCATTGTTATATGACTATTCGTACACGAATAATTTTCTACTGCGGTCACTCAAAGCACTCGAATAACATTCTATTACGGGTCCAATTCGTATACGTTGCAACTACTGGGGTATAGGCAGTAGAATCTATGATTCGCGTACGAATAACGATTACTTATATTTATACGATTACTTTAATCCATAATAACAATAATAATAATTTAATCTATATTATTTATAGTAAATAATATGTGTACTACATAAAATATATATTTAGAGTATAAATGAAATTTACTATGCTATATTATTATTATAGATTAACATAAATGTTTAGTATCAATATGACGTGAAATACTTATATTTAATAATGACAAATTATTATCTTTAAAATGATAATAATTATAAAAATCAAACAATAGTTTCACGTTATGATAATAAAAACTCAATTCATCGTTATATTACTTACATATCTAATATTATATTTATATTTGTTACATATTTATTAGTTATTAAATATGGTATCAAAACATATTTAATAGAATATATAGTCCGCGGGCATATGTAGTACGCCAAAAAATAATAATTGGATGCAACAAATGCATGGTTAGGGTTAATGGTATTTACCAATAGTTGTCAATTTGTATTGTATAGTCAACAGTGTCGACTGTGTAATGTGTTTCTGAATTACCGTAAAATATGTGTCACCTCTATTGTTGACTACGTTGTCGATATCCATTTATCGTTTGTGATTACTGCCGTGTCTGACATTTCGGCAAGATTATTACTAAAGACCGAAAACCCACGAGATAAGTAAGGTCTGCCTTGTCTAACTATAGGTTTTAAAAAAGCTAAGTATTGTCATTACTGCATAACTTTTTTTTAAAATGGATGATGATAATGATTTAATAATGCAATTATTTGCTATCGAAGAGTTGGAACAAAGAGAACTTGACGGAGAAGTAACTTATGAGCCTATTGATCCTTTTGAATGTAAGTACACAGATTTAATATTTTATGTTACTATTAAAATAGTTATTATATTACTAAAATAAAATATGTCTATATATATATTTTAACAATTTGCTGTCATTACTACATACCCATAATTATTAGCTAGCAAGACTGTTTGGAGAAGAATAAAAAAATACAAATTAATTCGAAAATTTCTAATCTATAAATACTAATATTTAGTAAGTACAACTTTCTAAGTTAGTTCTTCCTACCAATAATTTTCATAATAGTAATAAAGTCTTAGATAATTATAATTTTGTATTATTATTATATATTGTAATTAATTATCAACTAAAAAATATTTTCAATACAATATAATGAACATAAATCAGAACCAACCAACCAAATAAATGATTTATTAAAATTTAAACATTACATTAGTGTACTATAGAATGTTGATAAAGTGCATTTTGTACTAAATACCACCTACTAAATATATAGACTATATTTTATGAAGTATACATTTAACTAAATTTAATTTTACTATTTAGAGTAATCATAAATATTTAGAAATAATATAAATAGTAAACCAATTGTATATTTAAATATTTGACAAGATTTTAGACTAGATTATATAATAATTCAGGTAATATAATGTAATTCGTATACGAATGCGTAGTAGAATAGAAAGAGTAATAGAAAACGCAATTTCAAGAATACAGTTTTAAAAAACCAGTAGAAAGTCACATTTCGTATACGAAATGGTAGTAGAAAATTTTCAAGAATAGACCCCCTGAGGCGGCTTAGGCAGCGCGTGGCGTTGGCGCGCGTTTTTATCATGTCACAACGTTATCGTATCAAATAATAACGGTGACGGCGTGTGTTGTTTTTTTTTGGTGAATTTTTGTCTTTGTAGTTTGTTATATTATATATATATACAATTATATATTAAACGTATAATAGTTATTATCAATTACATATTTGTCCGTAATTCGCTCACGGTTTTCGTTCAAGAGAAATCGACGTGTTTCCCGGTGTGCAAACATTACCTATTATTAATATGCGTCGTTGGATGTCGGTACGTTTTTTAGATTTAGAATATATATAATAATATATAGTATAGTAGTATATTACATTTTGCTTAAACCAAATTATCAAATTAATTAGATGTACAAAATTCTTATCTTTTTCAAACCGCTGTGCGTGGTGATAACGATACATTTCATATTTTTTGTGGAAAAATTTGTTGACATATATATCTACTATTTATTTTCAATTAAATAACTTACTGACTTATTTTATAAATATGTAAATTATTTGTTTTAGGCCAATACTATAGTGAAATCATAACCGACGCGTGTCCGTTTAGAAGATTGATTGCTACTTCTATCTACTCTGTCTTTAACTAATACAATAAGTAGTTATTATTGTTACCATCGGTTACAGACTGTTATCCTATGCCGTCACCGATTAATTTGCCTGCGGCCAACAGAGAACTTACACCGCAGAAGTTGATTTTTTGTTATTTATGAAGTATTTTTTAATAATTAGTGCCTATCTAATCTCTATACTCAACCCTAATTTAAATTGACAGTTTTTTTTTCATTATACAGTGTCTTAACCGACTTCTCTTAACGCTTTAGTTTCTAAACGTGCACACACATACGATACTGATGTACAAATAATTAAAACATTAATTATTTCACATTTTTTTGTTAAAGCTGTACAATTATGATCACTACATAGAATACAAATTATTTTAGTTTTTTTATATATTTTTTTTTAATGATATATTATTTCACGTTAAATTGGCATTATTTGAATACATTTTAATTATTTCATTTAGTAGGATGATTTACCTATATAAATATGTATGATCACTATCGAGTACTATCACTAACCGTTTAGGGTTTTTAAAATTGTTTTTTGACTTAATTTGTGGTTTTAATATTTTAACTTTGGAAAATTCAGACATCGTAGGTAAGCTATGTGGAAATCAACAATTCAAGCTAAAAAAATCTAATAATTGTCATTAAAGTTGAAAATATAGTTTGTATTCTTTGAAATTGACAAACATATAACTTTACTTTTTTAAATCATGTATCTGATTTCACTTTCCAGATAAATTTTTTTTTAGGAAGTATTATTGTAAATTATTTAGTAGAAAAACATTTATATACCTATCTAAAAATAACATAATACATGGATTAATTAAAAAAAAGTTTACTGTTGTTAAAATAATAATATATATATATATAATGAAAAATATTTTTTTAAATAATAATAATAGTATATTCGATGCACTGAATAAAAATTGTTCGGATCTAAAAACAATCAATTTTTAGTTTTTTACACCTGGGGCTACTTTTGTGTGCTTAAATTTATATACATTATTGACATAAAATATCTATGTGTTCATTCCGCTCTAATAAGAAATAACTATATTATATGATCTAATTTATTTTAATCACATTATACATAGCAACATACATAGCAACATCTTATGCTATTCATATGCTCTAATCATTCCAGTTTTTACTCCCTGGCTTTATAATACTTATTCAACCAACGAATAAATGCATTTTTACACAGTCTTATAATAAAAAATTATAGGTATGTTTTTTAAAAGCATCAGCAGAAGTCCCTATATCATCTTTTTAAATTCTTAAAACAGTTGTCTCTAGATTATTTTAGCGTTCAACATTTTGTGTTCTTAGACCGTTTTTATGAGTAGTAATCAAAAATCAAAAAAATTGTCTGAACATTTATTTTTACTAACTATTTAATGTTAATTTTTTATATTATATGTATGTATATATATATTTTTTTTTGAGCTGCTGTTGATATAGCTTGAACTAAATTAGATACTTATTAATATTGATATTTTGGTTTTTTGGTGGTGTGATTTCAGACATAGGGCATTATTAAAACATAAAAATAAAATATTAATTTCAAATATTTTATTGCATTTTAACATTTTGAAGCATGGTGGTATAAGTAATATACCACTTTTTCAAAAAATAGCCTACTCTCGCACAGTGGTATATATTTATTACCACCTTCATAATCATGTTCAGAGAAAATCGGAGATAAAAATGCTGTGCTTCAAAGGGTTAAAATTTATATTGAAAATCGACATTTAATTTACTATTTTATTATTTATAGAAGTATAATATAAGTATTCGCTCCACCCTAAAAAAGTATAGTAAATCTATAGATTTTGCTATATTTTTTTAAATTGATACTACATAATGAAAAATAAAATTATTTAAAAATTTTTTATTATTATCATTTAGTAGGATGAATTGTTGGTTAGCCATCTAAAAATATATCAACATATGGATTTATACCTTTCATGGTTTACTTAAAAAAGTATTAATGTATATATCAATTTATCTATTATGTATAAAATATGTCTGGATAAGTATCAAATAATTTAGGTATTTTATGCACTGAATATTATTATTATCATTTTGTACTCTGACCGTTTTTATAATCACCGCCGGACACTCGAATAATCAAAAATATTTGCTACAAATTATTTCAGACATTTCATTCATGTTTTGTACTCTTGAGTTCCCAAGTAACCGTCACACAAACATATCATTCTTCCACACTTTTAAACTTCTAATAACCAACAAACGTCAGACCTTAAGTATCAAAGTACCTTTAGCATTAAAGGTCCAGATCCAAAAACTAAAAGATTTGCATCGAGACATTTCATTTAACCTCTCTTTGGACATTTTTATAAGCTCTGCCAAATAGTCGATCAATAATAATGTATTTATCACTCTTCACTTCTTTCCCTTTTAAGTTTTAATATCAACTAGACATTTCATTCATGTGATTTACTCATGATGTCTTAAACACTTATGAACTTCTGTTAAACCACCAGACCTTTAATATACATATTTAATGCATTATGCTGTTGGTTACATTCTAAATGTACAGTACGTCATTACCGAATAATGGCATAGACGGTGATTTCTGAACAAATAAGGATTTTAATTCAACCGATATCTAGACATATAACGTATACGTTTGAAAAAGTTTTGTTGCACATAGGAACACCATATCAGACATATACAGACTGACCTCTAAACATTTCTTTCTATTTTTAACCATAGCTATTACCAAGCCCGTGAAGTAAACAACACCTCAAACAATTCAAATAAAAAAAAAAAATAATTGTACTTTAAGCAAGTAGCACACTCGCTTTAGTAGTAGGACATTTCTGATCTGACAGATAGCTAGACTTGCACTACAGTTAACCGGTACTTAGCTTGCAAAACACTTTTTCGAAACTAAGTATGAACTATGATTACTGGATAAAGGTACGATGAATTATAACGGTATACTTTAAAACGTAGTGAGCTGACTCGACACCGTGGCCGGCGTAGCCGGGCACACCCCTCGGAACCGCTGTGTACAGACATATAACATACTACGTTTAAACAAATTTTGTTTCACAAAGGCAAACCTTAACAGACATTTAGCTGACTGTCCTCTAGACATTTTTATCTGTTTTCAACTCATAAAGTTAAGCGGGACGACACCGGCCTATATTGATGACGTGGTCTATAATATAACTACTTTTACCAAAGACAATTTCCATTATACACTTTTTCCCAATGGCCAGCTTCTTATCAAGTCTCTTTAACTTTTTAAAATTTTAATTTAAACTTAATTTTAAACCTGTTACCTCCTCATAGACTGTAGCCTACAAACCTACGATATTTTTAGTTGGCGGAGCGAAGCGACGGCGCCGAGCTCTAGTAGTTATATATTTTTATAATATAAGTGTACGATGTATTTATAGCAAGTACAACAGATTTATCAATCATAACCAATTCTCCTGAATATTAAACAATTAAAAACGAGTCTATTTGTTTCGCTCATTGAACGGAAACACCTAATTTACTCTTTTATTAGTATAACCAAAATATAATAATTGAATTATTAGATGGGTTTACCTATGAAATGAGATGTTTTCTTTTCTGCTCTCGTCGTTCTCGGGTCTTCCACAGATATAACAAAGGACCACTGCAAGTCGTAAAGCGATTAAAATCGAGCAAAATAATATATTTAAATTTCAATTAATTAAGCAGCCGAGTTGAATTGTGCTAGAACAATATTTAAATTCACTTACTTTGCACACGGTGGTCGATTGTAAAATAATTACCAGTACAACGGTGAATGTATATTTTCCTAGATGACAAATAGAAGTTTTAACTTAGGCGGGTTTAACAGTGAACCGAGGGCAGGGCGGCCTGGGTTGGTACTCGCACGGATGCAGTGTCGACTTGGCTCATATAAATGACTTGCGCGTGGGCGTGGGTTTGATAAATCAATAAATGTTGACCAAGTGCTCGCAGTGTTTAAATGCGCTCTACCGGAGGACGCCATAGCTAAAACTAACACTCACAGCTTATTTTAAACGGGTTTTACTAGAAAAAGTCGATTAGTCATTACTTAGTTTCAGCGGCTTCGATCACAGTGCAAACATATTGTCTACAATCAAACAGCAACAATGCATACAATATTTATTTTTTGTTTTGCTTAATATAGGCTATGTAGGCCCCTAGCTGTAACTACCACGTTTCTCTATCGTTTTTTGTCTCTTGTCATCTCTACTCCTATATACATGAAGTTATTTTATTTGACAATTCCCTTCTGCGCGCCAGACGACCACGTCTCAAAAAAAGCATATAATGCAATTGGTCTAATAAGAACATTATACATTGTTATTTTTGATTTTTTTAAATAAGGTTTTGTCTTGAAGAGTGGTCTCAGCATTCCAAAGCATATTTTTGCCGAAATTCTTCTTTTTAGTTATTTATGCCCCCACTGGTTGTATCTAGTCTCACTTCGAGATACTTGCATACAACATTATGAAATTATTTACACTATGTACAATCATGTAAGAGGGCGTCGCACCGCCTATTTTTAAAGAGTAAAGTATAGGCAATTTTTTACAAAATCTTAATTTAAAGGTTAAACTGTGATGTGTAATTATTAGTTCAATAACTAGGACTCTATTTTGGTAGTTAATTTATTTTTTGGACTATCACAGCATCCTTAAAAGCGATTTAAAAATGATTTTTCATCTCTACATGTTTAAGCAGACTGAAAATAACTCGCTTAATTTTGGTTTTAGAGTAAATGCACCGATTATTAAATTAAAAGAAAACAATATTCCGGAGGACAAGACGGTGCGTTTTTTTCATTATTCCAAGTATAACGCTCAATACCGGGTGATTGCTTAACTATGGACCACTCAAAATCTTAGAAGATATTAGACTTTTTTAATTATTTTTTTTTTGTACTATTATAGTTATTAGGTGGGACAAATTTAATGTATTTTTCAAAATTTTAACACCATCCCTTATGCGTTAAAACCATATCAACTTTAGATTTTTAAATGGTAACCCCCAATTTTTTTTTGATGATCGTCTTTATTTTTTTTAAATTTAATTTTAGGTGTAAAAACTAGGTAAATCGATTGAGTAGTTAACGAGCTACAGAGTTTTAAAATTAAAGGGAGTGTAAAAAATAAATTAAATATCTTGGAGACGCTAACATATTAAGATGACACTTGACTGCTCTCTGTTATTATTTATTGGCAATTAACTTTGACAATATCCATAGTAGCGTTTAAAAATCATAACCGTACCAAACACTATTTACTTTAGGTAAATAATTCACCGATAGTAAATAATAATGATAACCGCTATATCGACTGACAAATATACCACCACTACACACTTTTACATTTATTTTGTAAAATAGTAGGTATGTTTAATTTGTTATCAATACCTTGTGTATATTTTTCCAGCATTTAGCAATTATTTGTTTTGGTTAATTGACACATTTTGTTTATTCATGCGATTTGTACGTCTTAATTTCATAGTATATTATAATAATATAGTATCATAACTTACTAGTTCTATGAACTTGTCAACATTTATTGTGTTTTAAATAATAACATTGGTATTAAATATCCATAATCAATGTGAATACCAAGATGGAGTTTTGCTCAAGTGACAAGTCTATAAAACCTAAAACCTTACTTATAAAATGTATGCACATCAAATATCAAAATTAAAGGTACTTATAATAATAATATGTTATTTAAAATAAATAGAGTAATTTGTATTATGCTTGATGATATTTTAATTAAAACTTTTATTTTTACAGTATTATGTCTTTGTTCTGAGAAACTTATAAATGTGTAGTTTTGTGTTTTAACATATTGGTATCTGAATACAAAGAAAAAATATAAAAATTTTTATGAAAAAATTGAATCTTCAATCATCATTTACTGAATCGATAATAGGTAAGATAATGTATATATTAATATAGGTGTATTGTATAAGTACATTTTTTTATTAAAAAAATATAATTAATCGTTTTTTATTATTCATGAACATATAAAATGTTTTTACATAATAAGTTTTTTTGGATTACTTATGTTCATCATACTTAATATGTTTAATTAAAATGCGTTACTTAAAAATTAACGTTTAACTTAAAAATTATCATACTTGTATAATTATAAAAAATATATGTGTATACTGATATTTGTTGCTTAACCATATAATTATTTAAGTATCTAAGAAACTTATTTAATTTTTTAAATTATATGTTTCAGTATGTTCAATATTAATATAGACTATCTCAACTTAAATTGATATTTGTTATTGTCTACAACTACACTACTACCAACGTCAAATTTGGTGAATTATATTATTGCAGTCAATCAGTCTAAACCAATTCCATCAATACATTGTCGAATGTTGTGGTATTCAATTTTCAGTAAATTTATAGGTGTTTTATTTTAAGGTAAAATATATAAGATCATCAGTTTGCAATAATTTAGTTAATTTCTATGAATTCATCTCTAACAATTTATTATTATTATTATTATTTTTTAGTTACTGTGGCACACTATTGCAGATAACGGTTTTCCATTAAGTCAGTAAGAAGAAGAAGAATAAGATGGATTCACAAGTTCAAATCAAATATTAGACAACTATATATATTTAGTTATTCAGCTAAAAATGTAATTCAATAAAATAATTTAAAAGTACTTGATCATTTTAAAAGTTACATAAAGTTTTTATGTAAACTCTAAGTATTTAAACACACATATACTTAACATATCTATAATTATTATACATTATTTATTAATTATTAATGATGAATTCTTTATTTAATATTAATTTAATCTAAAATGCTGCTGAGAATGTTAATATTTCTAAAATATGTTATTGTCTTAATCCAAATCTTGAAATTATTTTCATGATGGCATAGTTTTGGCATTAGCTATTACAGAATTTATTGACAACTTTCTAGTGGTTTACGATTAAGTTTTTTTAAGTAATAAAGTAAATAAAATTATAAAACACAAAATAGAAGAAGAAAAAAATGTTAACTATTGGATTAAGTGTAAAAAAGTAAATTGAATGAATATACTTATAAATATTTTTTAACTTAAATATGTAAATGGAGATGGATTTCTTCTAGTGGGAAATCATCAAACAAACTTTACCGTCCTAGGTAACTTCCTATAAATACATCACTGTATACAGCAATATGTTGTACCTCTATTATTTACAAGTTAATTATAGATATGTTAATTTTATTTAGTCTTAGTTTTTCAATATGATTTAGCAAATAAAAATGTTTATTCGTATCTTATAAGCGTATTATTTATCTTGTTATTTGTTTTTTTATTTTACTAGTATCATAATAAACATAACATAATATAGTATAAAAATGTTTGTTAGTAATATTATTATTGAATTTTAAGCTTATGACTGTTTAAAAAGCCTTACAAAAACAAAAAAAAATTGTACTTTTTCATTGTCACTTTATAAATTTTTGTTTATACCTCGTACAACAAAAAAAACAATCATTTATTAAATAAAAAACATACTTTTACTGTTCATATAAACACATTAAAATAAGTAAGAATAGTCAATACTATGAAATATATACAGTATAGGATTAAGGTGGTAATATAATAAAGAGTTAATAAATAAATACAGCTTTTAATAATTAAAAATACTGAACTAGAAATAGTTAAAATTGACGCGTTAGAACTTTAAATTATAAAAATGAAAATTTATTTTAGCGCACAAGTATTAGATGAACGTATGACTTATGGAATCCTTTGTTATCTAAACATTTTAATAAACACAATAGATGCCTTATAAAGATGTTGTTTGACATCTTATGTACCTATCATAAACCAGTTCGAACAAATGCTAAAATAGTTTCTGTACATATTAAGTTTAGTTTTTGTTTATTTCTGTATATATTCTGTACATATTATCTATTAACTGTATGTAATACAATATTATACTAAAAAAACAAAAAATTGAATGTTATTTATTAAAGTTTTTTTAAAAATATTTTCACTAACAGAATTAATAATTTGACTAGTTAAGACACCAGTACAAGTAACACTTATTAAGACCAAGACGCTAAATAACCATTATAATTGAAAAATTAGATTAATGAACTTTTTGATTAGTTTTCAAGTAGTCGTATTTTTATAATAATTTGTTCTGTGTTGATATTAATCTACACTAGTAACGAATCGTTTTGGTAGAACCACGGTATATACTCTATATAAGACCGTGATTAGACCACGGTAACCTATGGTTGAAATTGAAAAAAAAACTATTTACTAGGGCTCAAAATATTGTTTGTTAACAGCAGCTAATGCCTAATATTCAATACGTACAGGTACATTGCACCGCTAGGAACACTACAGAAAAAACAGATAAGAAGACATTACCCATATAATATTATTATAGATTTATTATTAATTCGTTTTCATTGTGACCGACGACCGTCAACTATTAACTTTAATCTACAACCCTATCGTTAATCAATCTTATTTTGTGAAACGTGAGATCCGGCGATAAACGATTTTTTTCTTCAGCTGTAAAACTTATAAAAGCATCTCATACAAGCTAATATTATAATATTATAGTACTAAGCTATAACTTTAAAAGTACTTGTCTGATTTAGCTAATTTTTACGCTTATAATTAAATTTAAAAAAAATAAACACGATCATCAAAAAAAAATTGGGGGTTACCGTTTAAAAATCTAAAGTTGATATGGTTTTAACGCAAAGGGATGGTGTTAAAATTTTGAAAAATACATTAAATTTGTTCCACCTAATAACTATAATAGTACAAAAAAAAAATAATTAAAAAAGTTTAATATCTTCTAAGATATTGAGTGGTCCATAGTTAACCAATCACCCGGTACATAGTTTAGAAATAACAACTATTTTAACATTTTTTTTAAATGACTGTAACTTTTAAAAAAATAATTAGGTGTATATCTAAATTGGATTTAGATTTCAGAAACCATTTATAATTTGTTGCAATAAGTATATTTATCAACTCAGCGTTTTTGATTCTAGTTGTACACTAATTAGGCTTGCTATTCGTACAGATTTCACGGGAACACAACCGCTGTTCTCAATCTATGGTCAAAACGTACAGGTTTGTAAAAGTAAGTCCCGGTGTGCCTAATCTGACTTGTAATTTCCAGGATTATAATTTTTAATAAATGGCAACCTAAACAACTAAAAAACTACAATACTCTAACATCTGTTAACGACATTATTAGGGATGCATTCAAGTGAATATCATTTTAACAGACAAAATGTATTATCAACTAAATTAATAATGATTATATCCTCAGGAACCTGTGTACCTATATATGAGTATCAGTGTTTTCAGGATTTTTAATTATCCGATTCATATTTCACATGCAGCTGAAACTCATAATAATATAATCATATCATGATTAAAGTGCACAAATTATAGTCAACCATGACCATGACGACGTGCGCATCCCATTAAAATGTTATGGCAGAGTTAACTACAAACGCCATTCGCTGTAGACCAAGTGAGTGCGACGAAAGTACCTTCAATAGTTGTTCTTATGGTACGGTATGAGCTCTTAAGACTATTTAGGAAAAACGTTTTACTAAAAAAAATCAGCCTTTCACTGGCTTAAACTCAACAGCAAATAATTATATCAACTATTACAATGTGATAAACGTATTATAAATAGAAACTGTATTATGTATTTAAAAGAGCAGCAGAGAAAATAAATTAAGATAACTGACGAACTCTTAAGTACCTACCTTAATTTAATTTGGAAATAATAATTTAATTACGATTAGAGAGTGAAATTAAGTATCGTAGTAGTTATACCTATCGTATATATCTAATCCTAAGGTTTTCATTTTCTAAGTGGCCAAATTAAATGTTTGATTTAATGATTTTTCATTGTCTGTGTATAGACTCTTTTATTTCCATTCTCTTATTAATCGATTTTATTTCTTAACAATAGTGTAATACGTTATGAATAATGTTTAAGTTTTTACGTGATATATAAATTGTGGCTTACAAACAATTTTCTTAAAATACACATTCAGATAAAAAGTTATAAGGAAAAAGGTAAACATTTCATTACAATGCCAAGTTTTTAATAAATGAACAATTTAACAAACTATGGTTTTTTCCCCCATTTTTTTTATGTAAAATAGGTCATGTTATACAAGATTATTTTTCTATGGTTTTTTATACACTATACACGTGTATAAGTTGTGTCTTGCATTTAAAGAAAAGTCGTATCGGACGAGCTAAATTTGATAATTTTTGTATTTTCAAGGTGACAACATTCCAGAATATGCAAACTTTCTCAATCTGTGTCGTTTAATAGGGTTGTTCAGAACAATTGAAAACCCAGATTTAATTATAGAATCTGTTGCGGTCGATGGTGATAATTGTTATTTAATAGCTACAAACAACATATACTTCACGTACAGAGACTTTGATGGAAGTATTTATGAGGCTAACAAAGACGAAAATCCAATCAAGCCCCTTATTCATCAAGTAGAATAATTTGAAGTATAAGGATAACTTATTTTATGGGACTATTGTTATTATTATACTTTTTTATATATATATATATATATAAATCATTTTTGCACACCTCCTAATATCAAAATTGTCAATACGTTAAATTTATTTAAAAATAAGTATTAAATATAGATATTATATCGAATTTCAAATCATTTTTCTGTCCAAATTGGAGATTGTAAGCCTTTCAAAAGTTCAACCCCCATTGACTTAATTGTAAGCTATTTCTGAATTAATTCGATTTAAAATAAATGCTACAGCGTTCATTTTTCTTTCTTGCCTTATCCCAAAAGAAGTCCGCCACTTTAAACCAGTCCATTCACATTTATGTATCCACCAACATTGTTCTATTGATTCCACACATTAGTTTATTTAAACCAATCACCTACATCTGTCTTCACTAGTGCCAACTACTTCATTTAATATTTTGTTTTCTTTATTTCCAACAGAATGCTCAATCCATGACAATCATATTCTCTAGATGTTGTACTACCGATTGAAAATAGAAATTATTTTAATGAAAAACTAGGAAAATACAATTATCCATTTCTCCTAAAAAGGGGTGAAAACTTTACTTTTATTTTTATTTTTTAGGCATAGTTTTCATCGTCGAGGTTCAAAAATTGGACTGAGATGCGCTTACAAACACAATAGTTCTCATTACAGTGTTACAACTAGATAAATCCAATAACCAAAAAGAGTATAGTCTGAACACGAGTCAAAGTAATGTAAATATGCAATCACATAAAAAATAAAAATGAAATGTTTGGCATTAAATTTGTATAGGAATGTGCTAAATATATTTCACCGTTTCGGTCGACACAATAGCCCGGCAATAAAACGCAAGAGAATCACTTTCAAAAATCGTTTAACAAACCGAAAAATTGATATTTCGCTTCTAAGTCCTAGTATATCAATGGTTTAATTAAATATATTACTCATTGTATGCCTATTTACAAACTGCCAAGACAGTACATTTGTTGCATATTTTGAACAATCAGTAAAACATAAACTGATTGTCCATTTTTGATACATCTGGAAGAGCAAGACCGAAAAAAGATGGGTAGACGGAATAATAGAGAGTGACATGATGATAGCTGGGGTGATTAAACGAGATGTAGGACTAGGGTGACCGACCCCTTGTAGTTGGGAGTGTAAGGCGAGGAAGAAGAAGTACATGAAAGGCATTTTATAAAG